GTAATGTAAATTATACGGACACCTCGCATGTGGTAAAGTCTTAAACTATCGCTTATACGCTTTTCGATATTGGAATAATTATTAAGCAAAGCATTAACCTTTGCTGCATAATACAAACTCTCAATTGATATTAAATGTTATCCTGATATAGATTTTCACATATGCTAGTAAAAACAAGAAATTATGTTACATCACCTTATATGGGTGTATTACATTTATGATTGCTACCTTTTCATGTTGCATCACATCTACACTATTTTGGTCATTCTTATTGTTTTATAACATAATTTTACAGTGTAGTATGGATTGCGATTATCTCATTGAATTAAATTCTTTATCAATGTAGGGAACTGTCGCTGATACTCTCAAACGCAAGGACGACACTAACACTCGTGATAGTATCTGTGATAAACTTGGTAATATAGCAAAACTAACCTTACATCATAACAGTTACCTTGACTGGTATTGTCGTAATCGTAGTTGTGTTAAAATTGCCTAATTTAGATTTAGTAGCTGTCACTGACAGAAACGTTGGCGATCTGTCTGGTGGAGAATTGCAGCGTTTTGCATGTGCAGTTGTTTGTATCCAAGATGCGAATGTGTAAGTAGAAAGTATACCATTGTTTCCATCTAATCTTATCTAGAACACGAATGTTATTTTAATATTCTATTGATATTTTAGTTTTATGTTTGATGAACCATCCAGCTATTTGGATGTAAAGCAGCGATTGAATGCTGCTTTAGCCATAAGATCATTACTTCAAGCCGACAGGTATGTGCTTTACTTAAGAGTAAATTATTTTCCTTTTGTTTAAATATAATCACTATATAATTGAAGCTATTACTGATCAATGGCCTTGAACGTATTTATTTATTTAGATATATAATTGTCGTGGAACACGATCTTAGTGTTTTAGATTATTTATCTGATTTTATATGCTGCTTATACGGTTCACCTGGCGCTTATGGAGTAGTTACTTTGCCTTTCAGCGTCAAAGAAGGTCGTGCTATCATATTATCGATGTCATATAGTATTTAATGATTGTAATGTAGTACTGAATTGATACAGGAATTAATGTCTTTCTGGATGGATTTATACCAACGGAAAATTTACGATTCCGAGATGTATCTCTGGTGTTTAAAGTTGCAGAAACTGCTGAAAGTGTAAGAAGAAGATGTGTCGCTAATGATGGTAATTTGATGAAATTTGATTTTTTTACCATTCTATTTATAGGATGAAGAAATAAAGAAAATGCGTCGATACAAATATGGAGATATGACCAAAACACTTGGTAAAGAATTTACCAAATACCAGTCTTACCACGATATCATACTGATAAGCATCAATTTGTAATGCAGGCAACTTTCAGTTACAAATCCGACCGGGAGAATTTACCGATTCAGAAATAATTGTCATGCTTGGAGAAAATGGTTAGTTAAATTTAATCTTATGCAAAAGTGGTATTATTATTAGCCGTGGTCATGATTTTGAATTGTATTAACAGGAACTGGTAAAACGACCTTTATTAAAATGTTAGCAGGAAAGATGAAACCCGACGGAGATGGTAAGTTATATGATATCAAAAGTTTATTCACTATGAATGCATTCAAATAAAGTCTTATTTCATTGAAATGATTGACCAAATAGGTTCCGTTCCGGAGCTTCATATCAGTTATAAGCCTCAAACTATCAGCCCTAAATTTGAGGTGAATGGCAGTTTAATTGATAGTGTAATTCTCTTTTTCCCTTAACTCTTTATTATTGTATAAATCATAATAATCTATAGGGTACAGTAGGGCAGTTACTTCATGCGAAGATAAGGGATGCTTACGTTCACCCACAATTTGTAGCCGACGTTATGAAGCCACTTGTGATAGAAAGAATAATGGATCAAGAGGTATGTATGGCATAATGGAAATATATATGGAGTTAAAAGGGCACAGCGATATAGCATTTTAATAGTTATCTTAAACGACTAAGTGACCTCTGTTAATGTACGTATTATACAGGTAAAAAATTTATCTGGTGGTGAACTGCAAAGAGTAGCCTTGACGTTATGCTTGGGAAAGGTATAATTTTTATGTTACTAGTTAAAACTGCTGTTTCTACGTATTACGACCGCTAAATTTTGATTTGGTTATACCTTGTCTAATTTTATGCAGCCGGCAGATGTATATTTAATTGATGAGCCGTCCGCATATCTAGATTCTGAACAGCGTCTAATTGCTGCCAAAGTCATTAAAAGGTATAGACGAGTATAAAAGTAACAACTACTGTATGTAATAGCGTACAATTTATTTTTTTCATTACTTTCGAAATAGATTTATTCTTCATGCCAAGAAAACAGCATTCGTCGTAGAACACGATTTTATTATGGCAACATACTTGGCAGACAGAGTAGTAGTATTTGAAGGTGAACCATCCATCAAAACTATTGCCAATAGGTAAAGTACATGAACCCTATGCAAATTTCATTTTACAAAGTATGAAGTTACCTAATAAGCATTTATATTCCTTAAAAGTCCTCAAGGATTGCTTTCTGGGATGAATAAATTCTTAAGTTCGTTGCAAATCACGTTTAGAAGAGATCCATCAAACTTTCGACCTCGTATCAATAAAATGAGTTCTGTTAAGGTAAAGTAAAATTGTACATTTTTATAGTAATCGCGTATTTTTAAAAATCGGCATTTCTACTTTGTAGGACATCGAACAAAAAAAGAGTGGAAATTACTTTTATCTAGATGACTAGCGTGATAACAATCCTGAGTATTAACCTACGTGCATTAATCAAATAAATAAATAATGAAGTTAAATGAATGAAACCTTAAATTCTTACAATTTAATATTTGGATACACTAGAAATTCTTTAATTCAGAATGACATGGACGTATCGTCTATTGTAAATTGTTCAAAGCAATACACAGACAGCTTGTGAGATTTTTAAACTACAGTACTGCAATACAATCTGTAAGTGACTCATGCTGCATGGAAAAATTAGTTTATATTTACTAAATTCTTATGCGCATTGTTGAAATCATCTTACACTTGAATTTAGAGCCATTGCATTATTAACGTAAGTTTTATTGTCTTTAGATAGTCTCTTTGCATGTCATTTTTAAGATTTACTATTTAATAAGGAAACACACATACATGTATAATCAAAGTATTAATGTGCGCAAAACGATACGTTCACCTAAAAATATAGTTTGCATGACGTTGGATGTCATTCATCGAAAGATAAATTCTAATTCTATAACCATGGAGTCTATGCTGTAGACGCGATATAAAATAGAGCTTCTTGCATCGATACTTCGTTTTCGATGACTTGTTACAGTTTACAACAGAACATTTTCAGACTATAAAAACAGCGAAATAAGTGATCAATCACAATTTCGTAGGTAATGCCAAATTTGCACCAAATTTGGCCAAGACTTAATATAAGTAAATTCGATAAGTTGTGTCGCATCTAAAGGTACATTATTTAAATAAATATGAACTAAATACAGAGTTAAAGTATATAGTGGTGGTTTTATAGTGCTGAGTACTTGGAAGGCCAATGCAAGTACATCTAAATTGAATATGGAGCTATATAATGGTTCTATAGTGGTGAGTACTGGGAAGGCCAATTCAAGTACATCCAAATTGAATATAGAGCTAAACAATGATTTTTATAGTGGTGAGTGCTGCCAAGGCCAATTAAAAATCGAAAAAAATATTACTAGCGATTATTATTTGGAGTGTAGCACAATCAATCAATCACATATCTTTACTTTAAAGAATAAAAAACTGAGATGTACCCTATGATTATGACAGGATGTAAGGCCAAGCAGAGCCTAGAGCAACAAAATGAATGTTAGTAGGTTTATTTATCATTATCAGCAATCTACGTATAGCTAATCATCAGTTAAAGTCATCTTTTTAATATTATCCATGGTTGCTGATATATCAAAGCTCGCTTGATTTGCAATTATTGATTTAATGGACTCGAAAAATGTAATATCTTCGAAATGAATTGTTTTCCGTGATGGCTTATTGCTTAAGCTGTTGGTGAAATCTTGAATTCTATTCAAAATTTTGAAAGGTGTTACTACATCACCCATCTCAGCGGAATATTTAATATTTATAAGATTGATGATTTCGTCTAATAAATTACGCCTTCCAATGAAAAGAAACGTACTAGCCGCATTTGGCTCAGTAATGACTAAATACTTGACAGCTTGTTGATGGAGGAGTTGCTGAATTTCTTTCTCTTGATAAGATGTCGTTATACCGTAAAGACTGTTCATCTTGTACATCAAATTATGTAATGTAGTAACTTTATTAAAGCATCTTCAAAGTTAGTTTTACTCTTTCGAAATGGATTTTCACAGTACACTCGTATACTTTATACTACATGTTCTTTTGGTAACGGGAAGAAGGAAGGAAGGCCTACAGTAGTTTAGCTGGAGGGGATTAGCTTGAGATTTTGGTGGAAAAATTTCTTCTTTAGTAGTTCTTTCGGTAAGTTGATCATGATACAAAGGCTGTACTGAGTGATGAATTTTTACTCAATTATGTTTTAATCGAGAAAATTGGAAAATTGTCGTCTCTAATGACTCCATTCCAGATACTTTCAAAATAATCTGGAGTTTCTGGACAGAACCCACCTACAAAATCCAATTTTAGTTATAGCTACGCATGCTTGAAATACAGTACTGTACTTGCGTATCATGGCTGTACTGTACTGTACTGAACATCCACATCACTGAAACGCCTTACTGAATACAGTGTACAGTATACAGTACATTCGTGAATGTACGGTAGCACAGTACTGTACACCGAGTACCGTACTGTACTTAGAATGGCACAGTTCCGTACAGGGACCAGCAGAGTACAGTACAGTATGACATAACCCGATTCAACATTGCTGTCCGGAGTATTCGCCCATTCGCCATCAGTACAAGTACAAGATCGAGCAGGAAACTCCTTTTAACGCGTTTATGGTTCAATCGATTTGAAGATGGCAAGTTGGTTTCCATCTATTTTAACAGGCCAAACTCAAGACCGACCTCAAGTTCCTCCTATCCCACCTATAACAGCATTGCAACAACAAAGGCAGAAGCAAATTGACTCTTTATTTCAGTATAATTACAAGTAGGTAGCATCTATCGATACAAACTGGATTTTAGCAACAACTCGTCATCCATGTCAGCAATCCAATGCCAATGACTTGGCAGACAAAAGATACAACCTCGTATAGCTGTATAATTTCTAGTTATAAAATTGTGAATTGATACAGACATAGAAGGAGCAAAAATGCATAAAATTATCGCATAACATCGATTAGGCCAACTGCTGAAGAATTATTATTGATTTCTCGTCGAGTATCTACAGTCTTGTATTAGCCTGCAATGTAAATAGTATTACGGTATTTTCCTGTATCATTGATAGAAAGTGCAGGCATGAAAGAACAATATTGGCATAATTATAATCACTTGGCATAAAAATAGAGTAGCCTAATCAGATTGCTATCTTCAAACTTTCACGATAATACAAACTTCAATAATCAATTCAGCAAAAAATCGACCAGTTAAACTTTGATTTACCACTACTACTCTTATACTAAATTCTCGGTCGGAATAGGTATATTTACAGTACGGTATTACGCTAGAGATCCCTAGTTCGACATGACGTCATTCAGCTTGAATCAGACTTACAGCGAGTTAGAAGCATCGATTCTGCCATTTTTTCCATCGAAGTTAATAGAGCAGGCTTATCTGATTTTCTCTTTCCGTCATTATAGACGTGTATAATGTTCTCTTTATTCCGTCCTAGACGACTTTTCCACTACTGTACAATATAAGGAATGTTGACATGTTCTCCTGTGTACAGCTACCATTCTTATCAAAATATGAAATATTCTCATTTCAGTCGGCCAACATTTATAATACTTGCAATTTATCGACGGGCTTTCTATTGTTTCATCAAACCATAAAACCATTTCTGAGTTGATAAATTAAGCAATTATACTGTCAAATAATGTAGATGTTGGGCGATCTTACATACACTTACATACAAGATAGAAAAACTCAACAGTATCGAGTAACAGCTATGTGCGTAAAGTAGATTAAACGTACGTTATGCAGTAGATACGTATAAATGTTATGCTTTTCAAATTAGTATTGATATCCTTTACAGTAAGCCATAAGCTGTATTATGATAGAAAATTAACATTTAGTTCATAAAATGAGAATAAAACCCTAAAGTCGTAATGTTTGCACTTATCCATATACAACTCAATGAAATCATTCTTAAAAAATTACATACGAGTATTTTAGCGGACTGGACAAGTTGTTCGCACCAACTGTTGTACTCTACACGCTTATATTCAAGCTATAGAATAGGATTGTCTTTTTGAACATAATGTTAGTTAGTATTGATGATTATATTATACCGCTATCTAAGTATATAGTAACTAATCAATCGCCATATTTGCTCAGCGTAACCGAAACCGTTAAATCACAAGAATTTCGAATCGTTGCCTCATCTACTAACAATGCGACGTATTACCTGAATATGTAAGTATTGGTACTGCTTTGCTGTATGTAGTAGATTAATGAATCTATTAATTACTTATTGACCTTACCAACTGTAAAATACGGATATGACTTGTATGATTTACATAAATTAGCTAACTTTACCGTATGCTGTAAATTGACGGGGAATGTTAACTTCATAGCTTTATTAATTAATTTATACTGTTAGAAAAATAGACGAATTTATATATACGTGTTTTGCTCTGGTCTTAGAAACCTTCCACCGCAGTTTCCTGATGAAAAACCGATACTTTCTGTTTACCCTTCATGCCGACATCCTTGGATCAATGAACAGGTTTCCATTTCACTACGTTTCGATTTCCTAAACTGTATTGAACTCGAAAAAATTAGATATTTATATAGCGTTATGAGGTCTAATAACATTTTGTATGCTGCTTTTTATGATATGGTCATATTGAAACGCATATGTATTACCTATTCTGTATTTTCTTCAGATGATAGTTACTGGATGCCCTGCTATTAATGGGGTTTGTATTAAGAAGACAAATTTTTGATATTTGATCAGTAAAATACAGGAATTAGATGATAATCATTGTACGCTCACTATGAATATCTACACTTTATCACAGATTCTTACATAAATCTTTCTGTAACATAATAATCTGTCTTACTTTACAGTTTATGGTTCATTCTTGCCTTGGTTTGGCTGTACAACAGGTTGTTAAAGAATTTCAAGAACGACCTCCGCAATTATATCAGCAGACTCATCAAAGTCAAAGGTTGGTCATTCTTCTTGCAATATTTACAGTATCATAATGCCATTCAATAAAATCTCATGTTCAGGCAGAACTACAGATATTCACTTCCAATTCAGAAAGTGAATCTCGATGTCAAATGTTATGTATTTAGGACAGGAAATAATAACTAATCCAATAAACTGATTCTAGTTAATTTGTGATATTTTCATAGAAATTACAATAGTTACCCTTCTCCTCCCTCTATACCTGATAATAATATGAATATGCCTCGCGCTATCAACGTCAATGATGGAGATGTTCCTTATAATCCGGTACGTCTCTACAGAAACCTCATAAGGGATTACTGCATATTATTTAAAAATTTGCGTTGTGATACGGTCTTTAGGACACTATAACTTGTGAAAGAATGTTGTGATATTGAAATAGATTCTGTTTTGCGTAGCCCATGTTGTTTAAAAACAATACATATAACAAGCCAGAGGTGCAAACTAAATTTCCTAAATTGCGATCCTATAGGTAAATTATATTATTCATATTATGTACTATTTTAAATAACTAGTATTAAATTTACTGTTGTAACGTTTATACGCTTCCTCAATTTTTCAATAAACTGCTACAAATACTTAGTACATCTGAATTAAAAGAATTACGAGGCAACCATGAAGCAATAGAGAAGTTTATCCAAAATCTGGATGAGGTATTTAATTCTTTATATGCCGGTATCATGTACAGTACGCTGTCAGTCATCGTGAAGTAGGGTATACAGTACCGAAGTATAGAATGAAAGATTCTACATTTTATATGTCAACTTTAGTGGTCCAATCCGTGTGTTTTGATTACATACGTAGGTACATATGATCAAGGAAGATCGAGAACAAATTTTGAATCGTTGTGAAGACATTGCTCGTGCGTTTCAATTCCATTGATCATTAATACTACATACATACTTTGCCAACTTTAATCACAGAAATAAAAGACTGCTTTTTAAAACTTTAAGGAATGAACCTAGCGAAAGCACCAGAATTGGAAAATCGTAGACAGAGCCTTCTTGAATTGGTATGCATAGCAAGAAAATCGATCCTCTCTATGTTATAAATTAAATTATATTTTTAAATATATTACTTATAGTACATTACCAGAGAAGAATATCAAAAAGGTCTTGATAAGGCTTTCGAAATCCAAAGAGAACATTTACGGGTTCGTTGCTTGTCTATTTACTTGATCTTTACGTTTTCTGTTTATGTTTTTGATTATAGAAGCATTTATTTTCGTATGCATAGTAGCTATTTATAAGACGATCTTTAAAAATTTTTTCTTATTTTGCTAGGATTATTCTGTCGATGCTATTTATACTAATTTACGAGTTGCAACAGCCGACGCTGATGAAAAGTCGGAGGTACTGAATACTTCTTGCTGAGTTATGGATTAATCTTTTACTTTTTAAGTAGCAACTATGATTTTGATATCGTTTTGTGGTAACAAAATTAGCGAGTAAGAGCCGATAATTGAATATATCAACGTTTACCTTGTATTATTTTTCGTTACATTTTAACATTACTTTAAAACTGTCAACTAGGATCTTGCAGAAAAGTTCCTTGATAGTAAGTCATTACTTATATTTCATAATATATTATGCATAAACGAGCGTATTATTGAAGTCCACCTTGTTATCGTATCTTCAGGAAAGGTTAGCATAGACGCATTCCTGCAGCATTTTATGGATTTAAGAAAGGTATAAAACTGCCCGAAATTTTAATTTTACTCTTGACTCTTTCTTTATAGTAGTGAAATATATGAATAGCGATGAGTGACTGGTGTCTATTTATCAATTCTCTTCTTTTAACTAGACAAGTCATTCGAGACGTGTAAAATTGGAAAAAATTAAGCAAGAACACGGCTTATAACGAATTAGTTATTCCCCACTTTCTGTGCAAATTCTTGGATCGTATACAAATTTAGGAACTCACTAAACCATGGCGTTATACTTTTATCTGATGTCATAGATTTGTTGAATTGTAAAAATGATATCATATGTCCAAATTTGGCATTCTTACCTTAATTATTGTTAATATCAAATGGGATCGTGATGATAACTTGTACAGTTTAAATTATTTTAACAACCCTTATTCAAATTTAGTATGACTGTAACAAAATCTTGGGAAGCTGTTAGATTACAGTATCTCTTATGAGCAGAAATATCACTAAAACTATAAACTACTAAATACTGTACTTAAATGAATGAAACTTTGGAATATGTTTATAAAGAATATTATTTAAAATAAATTTGTTTGTTAATCGTGCATTTTAAAAAGTATCCATGATTCATACGTTTATGTTGTATAAGAATCTTAAAATTTTAGCAATAAAACTTTCGTACTCTTGCTTGGGTGTGTATATATTCCTTAATCCAAGATCCATCGTACAATGTTCTAGCTATATGAGAACTACCTTATGTTGCAACATGCATGGTCATTGGTTATGAATTGTTTCTGTAGCGATTGTAATCAACGGTTTCCGTATTCGCGTTAAATATTATACACTAGGCAAGTACAAAATAAATTAAAATGAATCTTGAAATGGAAATCCATTTAGGCAAGTAAAACTGCAAAACAAATTCAACATGAACATATTTTTCTTACTTAAGTAATCCGTTTTATAATGCGAAATCACTACGACTACCAAGTGCTATTATACATGTATACGCATATTAAATTTATAAGCCAAAATTTTAGTTGCTTGACAAGCAACAGTATTGAATCATGTGTACCACGCATGAAATAAGTCAAGTTAAAACGCAGCTTTTAGGCCAAAACGTCCCTAAAGTGACCTCAATACACAATACGCATACGTTCAATTTAACTATGGATGTAACAGAATGACCTTTACAATTTATCGCATCACTTTAGCTAGCATCTCGTATGTAAGTAACTGATGTTTCCTTGCAAACCCTGTAATTGAAGTCGAAGTAACCAATCGCAAATTGACTCTATACCGTTTAAAAATAATAAGCATTGAGTTTCAAAATGAGGTCTCTATATTTTGTATATTAGTATAAATCCAGGTTTTGCACCACACACACTTAGCATAGAATTGCTATAAAATACAATTGCAATATACGTATTTGCAAGTACAGTAGCAGAATCTTCTAGCTTACCTTAAACGGTTTAAAGTAATCTAATCCACGATCGATTATTACTTTCCAACCGTTGTTAAATCTAAAGAGTGTAATTAATATCGACTACTTAGATCTTGATAAAATGTCTCATTTAAGTTTATAATTACAACTGTAACTACAATTAGAAAGGTTGTCTGATAATGAATCAATCTACAGCTAGAATTAATAACAAATGATAACCATCAACACTGCTGAGAGTACGGATCGCCTAGAAAAGCTTACCTTATTTCCCTATTGTGTAAAGTGTCCGAAAAAGAATACATAAATGTTACGTTATGGCTCTGTAGGCTCATCCGTAATTCTTCCAGGTGTGTACATTGTGTATGTCTTTTGTCCTTCTACAAATGAATTCATGTATATGATCAAATTTAATACAGCCAAAGATAGCAGATAGTTTATAATTTTTGATGTTAATACCCGGTATATTATACCGTAATTATACCCTAATACAGCAATCATGTAACCAATCGTATAATCCAAAATTTTATGTTATAATCAAGAATCATACGCGTATAATCAATCGGTAACGTTAATTAATCAAGTATCAGTTATAACTAAATACATCGACAATTTTTTCATGAGAAACGTTAAAAGCATGCCATAGCAATAAAGATTGTAATATATTTACTAGAAATAGTTATGAAAGCTTCAGCTAAAGAAAACAACGACTAACCTCTAACTCTTGACCGGTTAGTAAAGTAATATTTTTGACTTTTGTCTTCCTTAATAACAGCTCAGAAATTCGTACTAGATTTCTCACCTAGGTAAATTGCACATGTTTGGATATGAGGTACTAAGCGTTATTAATATGATAAACAGTTTAGAGGATATTACTGTATACAATTTCAGCGTAGCCATTACTAAGAATTTTTTTTAATATTGAAATCAAAAAATATGAACTTTCACAGCTACTATTAATACTTAACAGTAATTCAACAAGAACGTAACGGAACATAGATATTACCATTGCCAAGGAGTAAACAATATACAGCATTTTCCATAACTATCTGCCTGTCTGCCTCGCATACTTAATACAGTAATATCGAAGCACTTTTTGCGTTTTTGATAAATCAAATGGTAAAATTATTATTTGTATAGTAAAGATCTTTAATGAGCATTTGCTTGCCTGTGGAAATAACGATAGAAGTGTCTTATTTTTGCTTTGATAATATACATTCAATCATTACCTAGTAGAAATTTCCTACTACTGCGATATTACAATATATCACTTGTTTGTGATCTGCAGTACCAAAATTATAATTACCTCTAGAAGCCCTTACAGACTTTCTAACAAACTCTAATTATCTAATTTTAATCATAAGCACAGAGTTTAAAAGTCACATTATAAGAATTATAGTAACGACATTTCTTACAAATGATAAGCTGATTGATATTATAAAATCTAGTTCCCTCCATTAAGGTGGTGCATGTTTAAATAAATCGAATACTGTACTACGTAATCCGTCAGAAAACCCAAAATGTTGCAATAAATATGATACGAACCCTATTCATATCGGAAAATTGTGATATAATAAACTATCTGTATTTACTTATGCAGGCTTAAAATTTAGCTACGTATATTATTACAAACAATAACGTTTACAGGACTAATCTATAGTAGATGGAAATCCGAAAAATTTTTTAACCTGATAAGAGTTTCTAATATAGGGGTCATCGATTTCCACCGATGTTACGCTGTCATCAAGGCACCTGTCGAAGATAGTGTCGTAGTCATAACCTGTTGATCCATCAGAGATTTTTTCCTGTGTCACTTGGCTTGAGTGTTTGTTTTTAGCTAATAGTTATAAATTCACAAACTAGAAATTAGTGCAACTTTTGGAAAATAAAGTGAAATAGTACTAAAATATAATCATAAAAATTATTAATCCGTAAAGCTTTATTGATTATATTATTAGAGTTAGCATGAGTCAGTTGGCTACTAATAAAGACTGCACCATATTCTACTATCATTATAATGTAATGTATTTCATACCAATATAGTGAGGTACAAGGATATTCTAAATAACACAGATGAATAGTAATATTTCGTTTCTACTTTGCTAAGAAATTGCTTATTAAATCTTATTTCTGACTATCTGTACGAAAACTATCGTTATAGTTGATAATGTAAATCGACAAGGTACAGTTTATTAGTGGAGATATTCAAAAACCCTAACCTACTATTACGATTACTCAATTAACTATAATAAAAATATTACCATAGTAATTAGAAGTATAGGTTATATACGTATTAAGTACTATCGAATTTTTCTATATTAGCAATTTGTGTACCTTTCTTCTGAGCGATAATTGATTTGACTTTCTCAGCACTATTCAAACACTTCTTCACCTTATCTCTAATGAATAGCTTTTGATGCTCATCTTTGGTATCTAAAAAGATTTTAGCATTATAAGAAAATTAGCATTGCTGATTGTTTTATGTAGCGGGATTTATACTAGCTCTGATAACCATAACTAATGCTGTAGATTACTTTTGCCATTGCAGAACTTTTAATCTTGTGATATGAAGGTTTAGTATATCATGTTTAAAATTATTTTTTTCCTTTAAAGTATGCCTCAAATTTGCACAAAGTTTCTTGCATTCATTTTGAATTATAGTATAACATGTAGATAATTTGACGGCAGCTACAACAGCAAGGTTAAAGTATACAATTTTCTTTCAAATTAAATTAGCTCAATAACATTGTAACTGTTGAGACTTGGTAAAAATGTGTAGAGTTACTCCTGCCTACAGGCCCTCTACCATATTTTTCCATATTGTTTAAGGTCAGCTATCTCTTCACGATATAAAACTGTAATAAAAACTTACGACATGAAAATTATGAGCAAAGACAATTTAATAATTAATATTTATTTGTGTTATTCAAGCCCAGTTTAGTGATCCATTTGAAGTAATGTTCGGTTAGATGGCCCAAAACCATGATGTCATCAGGTCCTATTCCTTTAGTACTGTATTCCCTGGTCCAACAGTAAACACTATGTACCAATTTTTGTCACTTTGTTATTATTCATGTTGCCTAACATTATCTATTCTGAACGAAACATAAATAACGATAACAAGCCATTGGAGAAAAAATAACGACGCCATAGTTTGTATGTTGACTTCAACATCGCTCATAATTTTCATGTCCTAACGTTAACGTTAACATTAGAATTCTATGTCGTAAATGGCTAGCCGATCTTTAACAGTAGGGAATTATTACACTTCAAACATAGTGGCATCCTCTAAGCAGCTATTCTTTCAAACCTTCCAAAATTTTCATCATTAACTCTATTCCATTCATATAATGCTGTAATGATGCCTCATAATCTTCCGATCGTTCACATTCCTCTGCCAACTGGCAGGTTCTTGAAGCTGTATTCATTTTATTAGTCATTTTGCACTCAAAACAGTTACGTCCTATGCTGTTAATACTTCATTGTCGATAATGATCAATCCAAGCTTATACTGAGATTGAAAAGTTGGATGAGATCAAATTTACTGCAGTGACCGTAATATGATAAGCAATTTAAGCGGATGAGGAAGGGCTGCCGCCGGTATTTCCCATTTGCTGCAAGTTATAGTCGTTCTGCGTAGAGGATGATGGAAAATTTCATAGTAACGGATAATTATAGACTGTAGCAATACTGTATGGGCGGTGCCCTTTACTACTCGTACGTGCTATACGTAGTGTCGTACACAGTGACTATAGGCTAGCCCCACAAGTTGGCCGACATTTGATTAAATATTTAAATTATACTAATTTATGCCTTTATTGATTGATATTATTATTGATGGGCTAGTTTGAATAATTTAAAAAATAATGAATTACATAATCGGTCAGTTTACACCATTTTACAGTATATAGTAGTATACTACAGTTGTTTATCAACATGCCAACTCGGAATGATTCTATACAAAACCTCACAACAGAAGATGCGATTTTGTTCGTAACCAGACAGACTTTAAATTTCAAAGTAATTGCTATACATAACAGATTTATAAACGTTAAGGAATTGCGGCAGATAAACGGCATAGTTGCCTAAAATATGTATAATATACAGTATATATAATATATACGCGTGTACTGTATAGTGTATAGGCGTATATCACCTGTGGGAAGGCAACTCACAATAAAAAGCGGGCTGTGCGCTTTCGGGATACTTTGCAGTGTCTAACTTTGTCTAGTGTGATTGAACTAGTGTCGCGAGCAAAAATGTAACGGTAATGCTCTAATATGCAATGAGAAAACAATCTTACTACGATAAAACTTTTCTATAAATCCTTATGACTGTTACTAAAATCAACATCCAGTTGTCGACAATTTACGATATACTGTAGTTGGACGTTTTTACTTTAAAAGTATGGGTATATAGAATTACTATACATTAAGAACTAAAGTTTTAAAATGTAGCTACTATGTATAGCATTAATTGGCCAATTTATTGTAAATACATGCAGAAGTGAATCGAAGTTTTGCGATTTAAAAATTAGCTACTTTAGGCCAAATAACATATTCGTATTACCTGTAAGTGTTTGCAGACTTTTAGCTTTCCGAATATTAATAACAACTATCAATTTACAGATTTACCTTATGAATATATATTGCATGTACTAAGAATGTACGATAGAATACGCGCATAAGTAAGCGTTCTCGTGATGTCGTTAGAACATTTTAAAGGAGCCTAGATCGTAGATGTCGTATATTTATTACTCCAGCATAAACTACTATTGATATTTTTTTTGTTACACGCTAGTGGAGAATATTGGTTGTGAGAATCCAATTTGATCATCGGCAACCGTCACGTAAAGCTTAAGACGTTAGCAATAATCATGCCCGATAACGAGTTGATAATAAATATATCTTACATCGCTACCACAGAAACTATCTTTGTAGCGATATAAGATAAATATTATTGGATAGCGTTACTTCCAAGATTTTTTAAACATTAATTTCCAAGGTATAACAAATAAAATCTAGTGATTTATTGTATCATATCAAAATGATAATGTTAATATATTGGTTGTCTTAGAATCAGTACTATAGGTGTGCCTAAAAGATAAGGTGGCTGACATACAGATAATGCGAATAACTTTAATCGAAAATGCGGATTAAGATGTGATCAATAATTTTCAATTTATTTTACAAGCAACTATTTTTGATAACAGATGGGAGTCAAGTAAAGATCTCTTACAAAACGTATTTATAAACTACAGATAACACCTATACAGTCCTTCATTTGTAAATATGTAGTCATCTTGTATTGTCGATATACTGCCTTAGATACGAGTTGTATAACAATCGCAAAAAATTTCAATTTTATTAAAATATTAATACATTAAAATTATCCAAAACTAGAATTTATAATCCAATTAAAACATATAGGTATTGAAACCATCACCGCGGCTACTTATCGCTCTTTCTGATGTGCGAAAACTTTGCCTAGCAAAATAGGTATACCTTTTATCATCGCTTGAATCAGAAGAACTACCCGATTCTACAATTTCATTTGCTTGTTTATCTTCGAAACGAGTACTTTTTTTCTCGCTATGTTTTTGCTTATTAGATACGCTCTTAAAATGTACAGCTGCTTCTTCGTAGTAATTACTAGATAATGGAAAGCATTTATCTTCTTCAACATCGTCTCTTCTACAAAGTTCGAGTAAGTTTAAATATTGTTAATAGATTAATTAGTAAATTGACCATAAAAAATTGAAAAATAATTTTGCTTCTGGGTAAAGGTAATACAAAGTACATTTATTTAATGTTTTAAGATTTAGTTGCTTAGCATATGCAATACTTATGCCATTAAAGCAATAAGTTCCCCAAATCGAGTTTTTCAATATACTTACATTTCATCATTGCAAAAGGCAACAACTAAAACTTTTCCAATACGTTTCACTACTTGTCCGGGTAAATACATGATCTCCACTGTAATGTCAATATGGATACGTTAATAATAATAATTTTTATTTTTCTTAGGAAATTAAGACATTAATATAATAATTTAATTTAATTTTAATCTCTGTAGTCTAATATAAAAAAGTGTCATATACTTCAATTTACCTGGATCGACGATTGCCAAAACATAATCACCTACATTCAACTTGCATTTCTTAGAAAGTTCGCCAAATATTGCATGTGCACTCTATAAAGGAATTGATTCGTTCAGAGTTGTATACTAGTAGTAGTCTTTAGTTAGCTATTACAATTAGCATGCTACTTCTCTATATTATCTATAACGAAAACATCAGACAGGATAAATAATTTTATTTTACCTGGACAGAAAATCCTTCTTCTGCCCATTGTATTAAATATTGTCGACCTAAGCTTGCTTTGGCGTGAACCCTCCCTAAATAACGCAATTTTTACAAAATTAAAACAAATGCTAGTTCAAATCACCTACCTTCTCGTCAGTAGATAAAAGGTGAGAAAATGCTAACCTAGGTGGTAGTAGCCATCTTTATCATTCCTTGCAACTACCGGTCGATTGATCCACTGATCCTCTTTTTCTTGAATATAGGCAACATCCCTTTCGAAGACACCATTACTAATATAATAGACTTCTTCACGAGGTAAATGAGCCTACAGAATCGTGCAATGTAAGTAAAGAATCAATGCTTGTATATCTACTCGTATAATTCGATAGGCTTTGTCAGATATTTCTTTAGGAAGAATACTGTATTTCAAGGCATCCCAAAGAATCACGATCAATATATTGTACATGTGATCTTGATATTATTAATAGTCTATGCTTACAAATGTTTATCCAACTTTTAGCATAAAGATATATAATCAAGATAGTTTAGTAAAATAATTACCTCTTTCAAGTCATAGAATCGAACGTGTACTGAGTAGTCAACGGCAACTGCGAGAATAACACCTAAATATAAAAGGATACAACCCTTAATTTGATCATAAATCCTATAGGACTCTGATAAGGCTCTCAACTTACCTGGAGCATAACTACTATTGTAGCTTGGATGTAAACCAATGATAGCATCTCCTGTCTGTCAGCAAGAGTCATACAGTATTTACACATACAAGTGCATTCATATATACATTCATATATAGACGTTGGCAGTATAGAATTCTAATTTTGCAAATATCAACACTTCGATACCTTTAGTTGTCTTTCATCATCATCATCATCTGATATAATGTCTATTCTACTTATAACTTCAGTATCACCAAATTCGTCTTGTACAACGTAGTGACCATTTTCTAAGTATTGCAGTATGGTACCTAATAAAAGTATTAACAATACTTTAAATTCCGGTAAAGAGATAAATTCATATAATTGGAATAAAAAAATGAATTAAGTTTAGCTATTGCTAAAAATGCATAATGTTGCTTTATATAAATACTGGATGTCTTATTATATCATGATCCAGTGAGTTTTTCATGATAGTGTTAGAATTACCATAACACCCTACATATACACTGTATATTATACAGATATAGTAAAATAAATGACAATAAGTGCAATTTTGTAGTCCCTAACTACTTATAATCTGCCTTCACCATATTGTATCGATAAAGTGTCACTAACAATATATTATGATATAACTTAACAATAGTAAGATTTCTTATGTTAACATGAGGCATAAAACTGCTTTAGATACTGAATAATGGGTTTCTTTCTAGATTCACACAATCTCCTTTACTTCTCGTAAGCAATGATAATATCGCAGCAACAACAAACTTGTAACATTGGAATAAAAATGTATGGTAAATATGAATTAAGCATTTGCACACTTACGTACACAAATACTTATTGATGACAGAAAATTCGTATTTTAGCTAAAATTATTTGCAAAATACTCCAGCAGATATACTACGATAATAGCAAAGTTGAGCAGAGTGCTAACATTTTCTAAATTATCGCACATAGAGAGTTAAGCACTATTACCTCTATAATACCATCCTTCTTCCGACCATCTTGAAAGAACTTCCTCTCCTGACTTTAGTATCGATTTACCGAACGGTTTCATGACTTCGGTTGGTGGTTTACGAGCTAAAACAACATTTATTTTATATAGTATGATAGTTTTAATACAAATAGATATTATTTTCAGCTAATAGAAACAATCTTACATAAAAGGAAACCACGGCCATTTTCATGTACAATAAGTGCAGGCTCTTCATGATCCATTATAACAATGTCGGCATCTTTAAATGAGGTTTCTTCTAAGGTATTGCCTGGTTCATCAACATCCTGACCGTCTACCTTTAGTGATTGTCCACTGCCATGTCTAGGGGCTCCTATCCACCCTTTCAAACTTTCGTTATCAGAATGTGCGGATTCAATAGTATCATTATGGTGACTATCCTGATCGTCAAGCGCTTTATTTTGCTGATCTGGCTCGGACTGATCTCCATCTAAATGCTGTTGATCTTGAAAGAAATCTTGATCTTGCGATAAATTCACATTATGATCTGATTTAAATTGGTCATTCTCGTCTGATTTCTGTTGATGGTCGAATCGATTATCGGTAGTATTTATATCATCATGATTGGATTCATTCTGCCTAGATATATTGTTATTATGTTCAAAACATTGATTTCCTTGTCCATCATGTACAGTATAAGTCGAATTCTGGGCTAACTTGTTCTCTAATCCACCTCTACTAGAATCTATGCTACCATCGCGTACATCATCTTGTTTGTCACCCTGCTGCATCTGGTATTCATCCCTATGATTATTCTTTAGTTGATGTGCTTGATTCGCATCGTTAAATTGCGTAGAAAGATTAAAGAAGCTATCATTCAGCTGATCAGTGTTACCATGATGATTATCCCTTGGTGTTTGAGTTTCAGTATCTTTAACAACAATATGACTAGTTGCAGCTGCATCACGTTGAACACTAGCAATATTTGTGTGTTCTAATTGCTGGCGCTGCAGATTATATAGTTCATTATATCGCTGTTGAAATTTCTGCTGTTCATCTAGTAATCGGTTTTGATGCTCTTGAAGTTGTTGCTGCAATTCGATTTGTTTGTTTTGATTTTCAACCAACTTTTCCTGCAGTTGATCATTTTTTGCTACTTTACTTTGTTCAATAAATGCTTCTAACTTCTCCATATAGACTATCTCTTGCTGTTGTATTCGGTTTTGGAAATCGTCCAACTTCGACTCGAAAGACTGAATATAAGGAGAATGATTTCTAGATTCATTATAAATATCTGTCAGATTGTTGTCATCATCTTTAGTATTTGATTTTTCGTTTTCTGCAAGATTAACAAGCGATGATGCATCACTTGTAGAAGAACTGGAATCGGATTCACTGCCGTCTCTATTTACAGAATGATGCTGAGGATCCGATAAATTTTTTACTGAGCTGCTTTTTCTTCCTGAATTACTCGAATTGCTTGAAGAAAGACTTCCAGTTCGTGATGAGCTTGCGGAGCTGCTAGATTTATCATTAGCAGATGTTCTTCCCTCATCAGCGTTGTCATCATGATTGTGAGGAATATTTTCATCATGATCGGCTCCCGATATTGCTATTGAGTCTGTAATGCAGTAGAAAGTTTATGTACGAGTACTTTTGAACGATATATGATTTCAGAAACGGCTGACAAATTATTGCATTTCTGATAATCATCGGGATATGGTAATGTGACTCATAAAATGAGAATAAGTTAAATATGGAATAATTCAGATCAAAACAAACTGATATTTCTCGATTATGGCTTCAAGAGTATCATTAACAAATTTTACTATAATACAATTAAAGTGCATATTTACCAGTTTTCCATTCAGATAAAGCATCACGTCCTCCGCCACTAATAGCAAAATAGTAAAATTAAATTACTGATAAATAAAAGGCCGTAAAATTATATTTTCAGTTGATGCTAAGTCATATAGATACTTATGATTTTCAATTACGGCTGTAAATCTCAATAACAAAGTAAAATAATTGATTCCAAAAAACCAATAGCCAGTAGAGTATATTTTAAATCTTTGGTTTACTATAAAGTTCTGTGTAGCCATTGTAGACTCTCACCGTAATAATGAATTTTACATATGCTACTACAAATATAACTATTACGATAAGGTGAATCAAAGCGTATCAAAGGTTATACAAGTATAGTGTAGAATCCTAATCATATAAGTTAATATACCGTACATCTTTAGAAATTTTATAATTATGCTTGTTGACTGTTTTAAAGTTTACGATGAGATAGTTTTGTTCATATATAATATAGATTCGGTATTCTACAACTTGGGTATTAACTATCAAGTTATCGATGTATTTAAGCGCAGTATTATAACAGATTCTTACGCTATAATACTTTCAAAATACAGCCTACTTAGATAAATCATAATACTACTAGTAAATATCACATCAAATACTTTGAACTCTGTCTGCTGTCCTAGTATTGAAGATTTCAATTTGCGGTTAATTGACAAGTTATCTTCCTGAACTTACCTAGACTGCCATTTACTAGATGATTCAAATCCGGTAATGTAACGGCATGTAAAAGCATAACGAGATTTTGCTATCTTAATTAAGGCGTTTCGAGGACCAGCCAACTACAATATGAGCAAAAGCATTGTTTAACTGTTTAAATTTTTGGAATTTAATGTAGGATAAACATCGTATTCAATTAGTATATATATTTAATTTTATTACGTACCTTTCTACCATTGTAGGCTACCACTGCGTAATATCGCATTTCGTTAGGAAGTTCTTTATTGGGGATACTTTGTACAATGCCTGGAATATACCTATATCGCTGTTGATCGGGTGCCAAGGTTCGTACTAAAACATAATCACTAATTTGTAAGAATGGATTTGGCTGAGCTCCACCAACAGAAATAATAAAACGTGTTGGAATAACTTGTATATCAAGGTTATCGAATTCAATTTCTGCTCTTCTTATACTCGATGACTGAATAACAGTGCCTGTATATAACACGAATAGAGATTGACTTATTCTAATTTGCAATACGGAGAATTATAAAGTTGGAGACTTGTACTGTATGTACTAATTACCTGCATAATAAAATCCATCAGAACTACTTCTTGCTACTACTCTTTGCCCTTTAACCATTGCGCTAACTTTAACTGGACGCTTTGTGTTCTAAACATTAAGGAACATTGCATGGCTTACGTAAAAGATAAGAAATAAAAATGTTCTAAATTTGCTAATCTAGATTAATGCTTGATGAGTTTACCAGTTTCGGTGCCTTATAAGGGCGTATATTCTGCTGAAAGTAGATATCAATATGCGCATATGTTAATAATATTCTCAATTTAGAATTAAAGCTATCGTTAATGATAACATTTACCTGATCATGATCCTTAGATTTCGAATTCTGTATTAAATTACGTAAGATTTTAAAGAAAAATTGATTTAGAATACGAAAAATGAACCTATAAAATATTACTGAATTACAATAAAGTAAAAACAGGTTAACTAATTATAATTATTAAAATTAAAATTTTGTTACTAAAACATTAAAGGTAACAACCTTTGCAGCAATTAATTTTAAATCTTTAGCTTGTTGTAGATAAATGTTAGCCTGTCTAATTTCTTCTTCAAGTAATTCAATATCTTCCAGACTGACAGGAAATTCTAATCTTTGCAGAGCTACCATCATGGATTCACGATATTCACCAAAACTTGGTGGATCATCAGAATGATAATCCTGGTAGCTATCCATTTTAAAAACATTTTTTAGACTACATCTTAATACGGTACTACTAATAAAATAATCAAAATTCTTCCAATTTAATATTTATATATTTCATTACTTTGATCTCTCAGTATCATCAATCGCTTCCCAAACCAATCCATTTAATTTTCTATAGTAAATATAATACAATAATTTCAGGAACTATAAGTATCGTTTAAAAATAAAAATTTCTAAAATGAATTTTTTAGCGGTACCCTAAATTAAGTAAATTATTTTACCTTTCATATAGATCAATAGCATTTAATAATCTTTTTTCATAACCATCCAAATCAACACCAAGTGGGTTTATTAATTTTAGCTCATTTGGCTTAACAGGATTTGCATGGAAAACGGTCATAACCTGTTAAAAAGAATATGGTTACCAACTATGAATGTGAAACTAATTACAGTAGATTAGGGAGCATACCAACAGATGTAACATGTACTCGAAAGCTCCAAAATAACATTAATAAACCCATTTGGGTTAGTAAGCAATATTTAAATACGCGTATACTAACTGAGAAAGTTCCCTACGCACCTCATCGAAGACCTTTGACATGACATCTTTATTAATTATAGGAATATGTTTTGGATTATGCCGAATGACACTAGGAGCTAGTGCATCGATTATAGTTAATTTCTTAGCTACCAAACCGTACTTGGAAATCCATCTAAAGAGAAAGAAACTCATGTTAGTCATGTATAATTCCATCCCACGAACGCTAATTGATCCTATGGAAATAAATATCTAGAACTTACTGTGATACTGTCAAAGTAGATGCACTAAATAGAGAAAAAATAGAATCACAGTACAAAAACGAGTAAGTTGACTTGCAAAAATAATTGAAAAAATTAACTTATTTAATAACCTAGATCTTCGTTTATTGTTTCTGTAACCATGCATTCTACGTTCTATGGAATGAGACCATTCAGGAAAAAATTATTATAAATAGTGAGAAATGTATAGAATGAATAAATGTATAGAATGAATAGTGGATATCATACCATTATCTCGTAATTTTTCCCGTTGCGCATTTAACATTTGCCTACTTTCTGGAAGAATCCAATCACTATCCTCCTTGTTTGCACGGTCTATACTGTATTGGGCGCGTAATTTGCTAGTTCTTGTTTGAGTAATTTCAGTCGAACTTTCCTTAACAATATTGCGTAAATTCCTTTTACTTGTCTGCTTTTGCGTTGATGATGTGTTATGGTCATTCTCAGCTGAGGCTGGTCTACTACTGTATAAATGAAATCAGAATAGAAAGTTAAAGCATTTCATCACTACTGCAACATCTAAATTTTGAAACAAGACATATAAGTATATGCATGGTACCTTGTCATCCTACTTTTGTGCTTATTATTCCATTCTAACTGAATACATTCATTTCGAATTCGTGTTAATCTTGCAAGATATTGTTCCCCAGCTTGAATCTCTTTACGAAGAAGACTTGTATCCTGACTCTATAATATTATTGGAATGAATATTCTTAGGGTTATTTAGTTAATATAGCAGTACTTAGAGATATTATTTGGAGGTATACTAGTTCATCCTTGTTTATAGTTGTACAGTTCATTGTAACTTTGAGTTGAAATTGCAGTTTACACTTATACTTTTAAATTCATAGCCGCATACTTTAAGGGAGCAACGTTATATTTAAAATCAACTTTAGGTTAGGATAAAATTAATGGTTACGGACTTTTGATAACTTGCTGTTATAATCCTATATCCGTACTTTCATAAAAACTTCTTGAAAAACATTTTCGGTTATAAGCTGTTCAAAACATTAACATGTAAGCGGTTTACTTTACCTCATAGCTCTTCAGCCCAGATTCATCTACTCGAACTTCGCCATCAAGGGTATAGTAATGGAATCTACATGAATGATAAAGTCATGTCGGAAATAATTACTGAATCTATATAGTGAAAAGATAAATTTTTTATGTACATTTATATCTCGTAATCAAGTCCTACCTTCCGCCAGTTTCGTAAGCCAATTTAGACAAGAATTCATTGGCGTCAGAGTCATTACAATTAAAGGAAATTGTATGTACTGGAATTGGTTTGTATAACTGAATTTGAGATAAGACTGTATCTGGAGGCTAAAATATTAAAATTAGAATAGATGAAATATTAATTATTAGGGATTAGATTGAATTTTTATGTTATTAATATTAGATTGTAGTTGCTATTTCCACAAATACTCTTATGAATTCTACCTGATCGGGTCGTCCATCCGTCAATAAATAGATGCCTTGCACACCAGGATCACCTAAAGCTAACTTTAGTGCAGCTAATGTATTGGTACTTCCACCAATAGCCAAGCCTTTAATCCACTGCCATGCATTTAATAGATTTTGGTCAGTCACATCAGCCATATTATCTCTCCACGCGGCAGCATTAGTACTAAATTTAATAATATTAAATTTCTTCTTTTTGATTAATTGCTCCTAAAAGGTAGTAAAACAGCATTAATACTTTTCAAATTCGACAAATTTAAATAAGACGATAATGTTAATTAATATTCTGACTGAATTTTTCGAGACTGCGCTAATAACGGCTACAAAATTACCTGCAATAATAAGTGTAACTTATCTTTGACTAAGGATATTCTTGGTCTCATAGAAGACGATGTATCCACAAGAATTGTAATTTGATCTTCAATAATCGTTCCAAAGAGTTCTCGACTTCCACGTAAAAGCCAGTCAATTCTAAAATTACAGAATGTAATCCTCATTTTTACTATTTAATTGAAATAGTTACGCTAATTAAACGTCAAGCGGATATATTCAGAAGTATTTGTGCAGTATATCTACTGTGATAGTATTTTGTTTTACCTTGTATTATACATTTTCAGAGCTGCTCTCATTTTTCTTTCATATTCTCTATAGATATCACCACTAACGTGTACATGAACAATGGTTCCATCTTTCCATCTAAAGAAATATTTCAGTGAGAAATTAATATTCCTTTGTGTTGAAGAAATAACTTAAATTTTAATCATAGCTTGATGGTACAATACTCATTTGGAGTACTAACTTAGCTCGAATTTTGTAACTTTCTTAAGAGTTACTTCGATGAAAGCTAATGTCTAAGTAAAAAGTTATACCTACCTCACGTGAACAAATCTGTCGCAGTACTTTGCGTTAATAAGTTTCGGACTTTTAACCTATTAATTATAAATGAATTACGGATGTTTGAGTTAATTTCAATACTGATTGTTGAGTTACGATAATAAATGTTCTAGTCTATTCATTTAACTATTCAAGTATTCATATGCTGCGATATACTGCTCTATCTAAAAGGCTGTCAATTTTTCAAAGTAAGATATCTATCAAGAGCAATGTTACCGTAGGATTAATATAATTATATCAAAAAGATCAGTTTGTTTCCTGTAGAATTTCAGCCTAATGGACATGTCTTATTTCATGCAATGAAGCTCTGACTGTGCGATATAAGTTGGCTATGAGAGTTTTTAGTTATATGGAAAAACTATTAGCGTGTAATATCTAAAATTCTAAAACAGAGCAATCGATTATATCGAATAGCGACGTATCCTAACGTTGGTATCAGTATCTTTTCTTGAAGACAAACAAAGTAATCCAAATAAGCGATTACGAATAAAAGTATCAAGACGTTTATGGACTAGAATAAGGACTTCATTGTATAGTAAAGAAAAAGCCTTTAAAGTAATGAATTTCGTTTTTGCGTTGCGCTTTTAATTTTTTAAAGGCAACTATCACCCTATTCGTGACTAAATGAATTATTAACGCAATGAATAAATTCATATGTTGGATGGACATGGGTGCATTATAAGTAGTAAATAAAATTAAATACAGAATAGTGAGAGGCACAGTCAAGTCATTAATCAAATAGCACGAAGGATTATTTGTATAATTTACCGCGTCACCCGAGCCTTCTTCTTCCGGTGGTTTTTGAATATTTTCTACTCCATCACAATGCTTAAAAGCGACTTTCGATAGAAAATCGTAAAATGAGAGTCCTTTAATCACTAATCCTTGTCTCTAAAAAGTTCAATAACAGAAATGATATAAATGATATAATAAGTTTGTAAGTTTCATGTATTTAGGAATAACATTCACATTCGTCCACTTCAAGTTTTATAATTTAAACGTTTCAATAAATGTTACAGTTGTAAATCGCATCAATAATATACGAAATAAGCATACGCGTAGATATATGTAGTCTATATATGACGCAATTATTTTATCTTTGCAACATAGCTACCGTTTTGTCTTCATATAACTTTACAAAATTTGACATTTAGTAAAGATTGCTAGGTGCACTAACCTTGAGATATTCAACTGAACTAATTACATCTTCATCGTCGCATTGTTGCTCAGAGTTAGTTTCAATTAGCTTAACAGGAACGTTTTGGTTATCATCGACTTTTTGGTCAGACATCAAGCGAGTCATTATTTTAGGATCCTTGACTTCATGTTGCAAGGCTTGAATCTCAGCCAAAACATGACGTGCTTGTTCCAGTTCTTCCCAAATTACTAGTATATCTTCGCGAATTTCCATATCTTTTCTATTTCCATTGGGTTCACGATTATAGAGTGGGTTTCGGGTCGATTTTATCGAAGAATCGCTCTGATTAGACTGCCTTCTTTGCCTTAATGATAGCGATTCCATTAAACTGTCGAAGCTTCTATCACAGTCTAGAAAATTGTGAAAGCTTTGAAAAATATTCGTTGGTTAGTTAGCTAACGAAGGTTTCTATCTTTCATAAAACCTTCAATCGCTGTTTTATATTAAACAATAGACAATAATGTTAACACAACTAGTCAAATTTTATAACAATAGCATGAAAGCTCATTATTCATAGTGAGAAGTAAAGAAGTAGCTCCTTCTGCATCTAAACTAACTTTTCTATTTAAATGTTACATTAACTGTGTCAATCAATAAGTTATTGATACAAATTCACCAGGACTTTAAATTGACTTTATACTAGCTTAACTACTACAAGAAATAAGAATAAGTTTTGTTTAAAAATTTTGTATTAACAGAACGGGATATTGTCATAAGGAAATGATGCCATCAAAAATAGTAAGTACGACATTACTTTTTCCATCACTTTAACAACTAAAATATGCTAAATTATTAACCAACTATAGGGATACGACATCAGAAAATCTAATAAACCAGTTAGGAATTAATTTCACTGTTTGATTGTTTACACACAATTATATTTTGGTAAAGTTGTAGAAGAGTGTAATTTTACGACGTACGTTAATTCGTAGTTTGATAGGACTACTAATACTTGTAGCTAACTTACTTTCCAGACATAGATGCTGCAAATTCTTTATAGAATTTAACAGATTCTGTATCGTGACAATTATATGCCACAACATGTATTGGTTTACCACGGTTTGATATCTAAAAATAAAATAAATCATTTCAATTTCAACAGTTACACCCGAATCTTGCAAGCTCTCATCTTCATAACCATAAAAGATGAACAATTCTTAAATTTATAAAACTATTCTTAATTTGACCGTAACTAACAATTCAAGATAGTCGAGTCTAAAGGTAACTATTTCATATTGCTAATTTAAGGGTACGTTGATACTCTGCATTAAAACGTATTATGGCAAGTCCTTCAATTAAATCTGTCTTTTATTTATAGATCGATATGATTCTTACCTTCGTTTTCAGTATCTCTTTAGCGGCATCGTAAGATTTATTAAAAGCTACCAAGTAAATAGCTTCCAGCTGATCGTCTGATAATGCGGTAAGAATGGCTTCAGCTGTACTGGTAGGTGTTGTACTAGGATTGTGTGGCATCTTCCGAATCCATTCTAGTGATTGTTCGATTGATGAAGCATTGACTTCAAGAACTGATTGCTGCCAGCACTGAACCATATCGGAACTCCTTTATAGGATTTTATTAAAAGGTATCAAAATACTTTCTGATGGTAATAGTGTGAGATGTATTTGTATGATGAAATGCGCAACTTACCTGATGATATTATATTTAGTTACATGCGTAAGCTGTTCGTGGACAACTAATTCAATTAAAGCTTTAACGTCATCAAATTCGTCTGCAATCTCCGCATTTCCATCAATAATGATTATAATACGACTTTCATGAATTACTCCAAATATACAGCGACTGAAAATGAGGCATTAGAATCATTACATAGTATTATTACGTTTCATTCTGTTAATCCTGTCTTATTTACTAATCCAATTAAAAATTTTTAATTAAGAAATATGACTCTTAGTCAGGATATTTTGTAAAATATATATCATCTGTTAAGCCAAACTAGTGTCAGCATGGCACATCAAATTATTCGAACAAGTCGAAGTTGTTTTTTACCTTCCTGAAGTTAGCCATTCTAGTCGCTGCTTAAATAAGTTGACCACCTTAAGAATTACCTTCTCTACGGATTGTAGCTTTTGCAGACTTGCAGAAATCTAAGTTATATAATATTAAAATATGTAAGTTGCTGAGAAAATATTTCTATAATATTGAAATAAATGCAAATCAAAAATCTAGTCGAAGCGATCTCATTACTGTAGATACATTGCGCACAGTCTTATATTGTAATAGAAAGACAAAGCAATCGCTTACATTATATATGATGCCATTTTTACTAGGATATTGGACGAATAGCCCCTGAGAGTATTTTGAACGTATCGGCTTTTTAAGAGCATCAACATAATCTAAAATGAAAGATAAAAGAATATAGGGACGTCAGGGAAATTTATATTTATTGGCATGCCAATTAATCAACTGAATTAATAATTTTCTGTCTTATATCTTCAAATGGAGGTAATACACAGTGAAATAATAGATTTATAAAGTGAAAATTAATATAACTTGCCATCAACATGTTTAAATCCGATTGTTGGAAGAATCTGCTCCATGGTTAGTTTCTTAACCGATAAGCCATGACGCTGATAACAAATAATAATTTCAAAATTCTCAGTTTTACTGATAGCATTATTACTTTGATAGCTATCACATTTCATACATTGTACAGTAAAAACAGCTACCCTGTATGTATTACACTTATAATGTATAAATAAGTTCGTAAATGATTTGCCTTATCTATTACAAAATAATTTTTACTAGGGTGTATAAAATATCGCTAGGATTGACACACTGATATAACCTCTATTTATTACCTTTAGCCATACTAACGAAGAGCATTGTATACAAGCATCAGTAAGCCAATCTGTTCTGGTAGATTCGATTCCCCATCGCCTAAAGCGCATGGAGGTCTTGCTAATATCTGAATTGAGTGCCATTGTTTAGAATGAGTAATCTATAGAGATAGAAGTAGATATGGTCAGGTGATAGATAACTGTTAGTGTTATTAATGACCAGATCGACTAATAAATAAAGATGAAGTTTAGATAAGTAAATGTCCGAACTCTTTAAAGCTTGAAATCTAATTAAAACTTCTACCGCAACTTCAGAGTTAAGAATTACAAAATGATATGAATCAGTAACTATGATATCCTTCGTTACTACAGTATTACTCTTTGAGTTTTATTGCTGTGGAATAATATTTATAAAGAGGCGATCGTTTCGATTGAAATGTTAGTTTATGATATTATTTATGATAAAGACGGGATTTGATTACATATTAAGGTTGTGACAAATTGCCGGTCAATATAGCCCATTAGCTGGAATTCGTGTTTTAGCATTACGCGTAAAACATGTTGCCATACATCACTTTACAATTACTATGGTGTGCCGGCAATAAAGATATATTCTTATGTACTGTACGTATTAGATAATTCGGACAGATATATAATGTGTCATAATTACTATCACTACAAAAATATGCCTAATACATTAATTCTGCTATTAAGTAAGCTGTAGTGCAATACTCACATTAGTTCAAGATAGATAAAGTTGCACCTTTTACCGTTGACGTATTGAATCTGTTATTGAAGTATCTAAACGATTCATTACCAAAACCGCTAGTCACAATTTACAATTCTTGCAACTTTAAAGAATTGGATATTGCTTCCTTTTTAGTATGAAATCCTATAAGCTATTAGAAAGTTTTAGAAAGTCATGCAATCTTATGAACTGCTAAATTCAAACAAACTTGATTGATTTTGATTGATTGATGTAAGCATGTTTATAAGCTTACTGTACGTATGCTTGATGTCTTGGATAGTAAACCGGTAAATGATTCAAGTCTTACTCCTCTGATAGCCAATTTTGTTACTGTAGCATCACTATATTATAATATGAAGTACGTTAATGGTTGTAAAGATAAACCAATGGCGTAATATTCGTACAAGAATGCGTACCTCAATTATATCAATTTATGTACGAGTAAGCAGATGATAAAGGTGCGATATACGCACAGTATTTTATAAGGTTTAGATGCTAGCAGTACTTCTCTTACTATACCAACGCCTCGGTACGTAAACTACTTTACGCTTTTGACCGTAACATATCGATACACGTATACTGTATATATGTACAATAACAAAATGCAGCGTAGTAACAAGTAAAGACTTTACACTTAAGCGCGATAATAACATAATATAATTTAACTTTTCTGGATTCTACACCTGGTAAGCATCTAGTTAGTGGTTACTAATAGCAACAGAAATCTGTCGTTTCTCTGTTTCGGACATCCAGGTTTTCGGACAGCACAGTACAGTACAGAATCAATCCGCTTCCGTTTGGCCAATGGCCATACAGTACAGTACCAGTGTACAGTACAGCTCACAGTACTTTATACTGTAGCTTACAATACTATACAGCGTGAACCAGTTCGAATCAGAGTACTTTTTAAAGGTGCGCTAAAATCACAACTATCTGTACAGTACAGAGGGTGGACGGGCTAATACTGTATGTAGGATTTTTGTGAAAACGGAATGCATAAAAATTTTGTTATAACAGATTTCATATCAGTCGATGGAGAAAGAGTTAAATTTACACGAATCCGTACTGTACAGTACTGTATATGATATACAGTACTGTACCTTTTCCACAAGCTTCTACGAAATTGGAAATTCTTCGTCACTTCAGTACTTTACTTAACCTACTTTATGTACTGCACACTGTACAGTACACTATACAGTACTGTACTGTACGTGCATCTCACGTACCGTACAGTACAATGTACTGTACAATATACAGTATGTACTGCCCATTGGTAGAGCACAGTAAACAGTAGTACAGTACTGTAGTACGCTATACAGTACTGTACTGCACAGTGTACAGTGTACAGTAGTACTGTTAAAGTAAAGTATCTGCGGTCTTTTCAATACTGCAAAGTTGCATCTCGGATGTACAGGACATTGTACAGTATGTATGCAAATTTACATTCATAAATATCTTTATAAACATGATTCTTCCTTGTCAGCTCTACTGAAAGCGAAGTACTTGATTTACTACTGTAATTAAATTAAATACCATGCAGTATTACCATTGATTCATTGGCTAAAACGGCGAAGACATGGAATTTATATCTGGAAATAAGATTGAAAGCGACCGACAGCAAGTGCGAGCTGCTCGTCAACAAATTTTAGAGAAGGTACAGTAAGCAGTACTGTAGACTATAATGCCATACTATCTGTCCGTCATCATAATTTCACCAAATATTGCAAGGAACTATGATGTGCAGTGTGATGAAGTACGTTATTATTCAATGTAAGCTCGATATTTCAGTGGTCTTCTTCCTACAGTTTCCTGTAAACTTGGACGTCAAATAGCAAAGACTTCGCAAAATACTGTATATTACAATCTCTGTTTTGCTAAGCTACAGCTAGTGTAGTTATGATAAAGGAGGTAGGCTGATACGAGATTGTTCAGTGAACGAATTTCTTGTACACTAGAATCATATAGTTTCGCGTTGTTACATTACAATTGTATTACCTTTTGCCTTATTTTGCATTTTATTGCATAGTCTATGAACACACAAGTGTTCATGTCATGGATTTGTCTACTTCTGCATGGCAAATTCTTGATGTAATACGAGTTAACTCAGTTAATAGATGAAATAGTTTGATCCTAACTATGGTTAAAATTCTAAGGTCTTGAGATTGATTGTATGCATATTAATTAACTGTTGCAGATTAGTTTAAATGTTGTATAACATACACATCACAGATATCCACCTATACAGTAAACGTATATTGCACCTCACATCGTTCATGCATGAGAATGAATGATTATAATGCACTCGTACGTACATGTACTGTACAAGATCTGCCTAATCATTTTGCAACAGGGCTAGATGATGTTATCAGTTCGAAAATAGGAATGCAAGATTAGTACATTACTTCAAAGACTAAATAGAACATGATGTCGTTGTTTATAATTTCTTATGAGGTACAAATACCATCATTATCATTAATTATAATTTCTTATGTTCGCCTGTAATCTAATTAGAAAATAATTGAGATGACTAGATTGCACTTTCTTGATGGCATGATAGGCAAAAAGGGACTTTTTTAGAAAACAGCAAATTGAAGAACGAAAACGGCAACGTGGTGACGATGTATGGATACTGCCATCCATCGATAAGAGAATAAAAGATGACTCAGGGGTGCGTACGTAATAAATACTAACTATATCCATTTTGGCATCATTAGGGTTCAATGCAGAAGAAAATAGGACATAGGATTTTAGCAATTTTTGTGATTAAGCAACTCTTGTAGCTGTGTCTCTACTTTTGCAATTGTTACGATGTCGATGGACTGATTCTTTGCAATTCATACATTAGCGCTTCCTGTCAATACTTTTATATAGTAAACAAAGATTTTCTCTAAAACTAGATCATATTAGACTGTCTCACAGACAATGATAGAGTAGGACGTACTAATACAATATCTATGATTGGATGATTTACCCCAATCTATTAGGATATAAATGAAAGGAAGAAAAAGAAGAGTAAGAAAAGCAAGAAATCGAAACATAAAAAGGTTCTTTAATGCTTTTCCCGATTACTACAATATTTCTAGAAATTATATTATTCTAAAAGTCCATTACATTGTTTTAGTCTAAACGTAAAGCACATCATGAAAGATCAATGAAGCAAATCCCAGATTCTGTATGTAATCAAGCGTTACTACCTGCTACGAGTGCTAAGATTATGGAACTGTCAGTGACTACTAAAAATAGTAGTCTCTGTATTATATGATGAATTTGTAGAAACTTGGGTGTTAATCAGAATGCAGCATAAACTTGTAGCGTGAAACTTTAGGATATCCTACATTGATTGATTATTTTATCATTTTTCATGTAGGATGAAGAATCTAACGAGGATAGTGATAGTCAATGGGTGGAGAAGCTAGTTGATGACAACAAAGGCCAATCAGTGACTGACAGTCAGCAGCAGTCTGGAGGCCTAGCCAAAGTGAGTTCTCGTAACATTGTGATCCAATGATTAGTTCGTAATAGTTATAAATTTGCTAAGATTATTTCATTGGTAATAGTACAGTATATTAGTTACATCATGTTTTACATTAAAAATTACTATAGAACATAATACCATTAATATACCAAAAAGTATGAACTTTTCAGCGGTAATGACAGTCATCACATTTTAATTGGCTTACATCCACTTGCCAACGCTTGTTAATTAAACTAGTACTTTGTACAAAAGATTAATTTGTTCTCCTTTTATTTTTCTTAGAGAGACGATTGGATGCTTCATTCGCACCTATTTGATGACATAAGTCAAAGGTCTAAAGAACGAGATATACTTAAACCTATCAAAGAAGATAAAAAGGAGACTGCACAATCTGATCTGGTAAACAATTAGACCTTAAGTTATTATAATGTCTTTTCTTTCGTATTTTGTTTCGCTCGTAGTATCTATCACGCACTAATAAAGTTTGTAACCATTTAGCCTGGTCAGCATCCTAAGGAATTGAATCCGTACTGGAAAAACAATGGTACCGGCCTACCTGAGGACAATGTAAAGGTTATTGACAGCTTCAATTTACAATTGTATGACTGTAGTCATAATAGCAGTACTTATTTTCCATGTCGCTAAGACTTTAAGAAAAGAAGAATATAAAAATAATGATGTAGCTTTTGTCGATTAGGAGATACCAAATTTTTCCCGTAACCGTCCAGAATCTAGTAGCGTTAAGAAGGACAATGTAGTCGCTGATCGTCTACAATTAGCAAAGGATCGCTGGAAGCTTGCCAAACTTCAAAAGGAAGATACTTCTGCTACATCCGTGGCTGAGAAGAATAATTCTAAGACTGCAAAAAAATTTTCTCGTCCTGGAACTTCTCCCGCGTCACTCCCGCAACAGATGACATCTAAGAGGCATGGCTGGATGAAGCAAGGACATACAGAATACACCAACGAGAGCGAAAATACCTTGCATTCTAAAGAATCTGCAGAAGATCTGAGTAGGCTTGAGTTTACTGATACTTTAAACCATGTCGATAAGCAAGAATCGATAACGGATGAACCGAGTTCTTCCGACAGTGAATGCTGCAGTTCATATGATGAAGCAGAAGAAAAATCAACCGTAAAAATTGCAACTACTGACGATCTTAATGTGATTAGCTCTAAGATTTTTAGAGCAGAGTTGATGGGAGACATGGTTAGATTATACATTAAGGTCTCTACAAATGATTGAAATTATAGTTATTTTTAGTGTGCTACATTTAATTTCAGGAACTTGCAAATAAATTGAAGCATCAATTGGAGACTGCAAGGCTTGCCAAAGATGACCATCAGATGCGACTAGTAGTTACTAAACCTAAGTCCGGCAACAACGCAGATAAAACTGCTGAGAGTACATCCAAGGAGAATGTCATTTATCTTAGTCGGAAAAACGCTTCTGGGATGGAAATTCCTCTAAAAAATCCAAATAACCCAAACTATGGCAAGCTCGATCATCGTCGAAAGAAGGTTCTACTAATGTATAATTAGTTGACTATTTTAAAGTTCTATTTGCGTGCACCTACTTAGAAATTGGTATTAGATGTTAAACCAGAGACTGCTAGGGACTATTAAGAAAAAGAAAGAGAGGAGGGAAAGCGGTTGTTCACTATATAAAAAATGTGAAGGCCGGTTATTTGGCTGATCATTTTAACTGCATCGTATATCTACAACGGTACACTTTACTGTCTGTAATTGACACCCAAATTAGCTATTGGGTTGGTTTTGTGCAGTATGGTATACGATCTCGTTTGTACCACGTAGTAGAATGGCCGGAAAAATGATAGGCCTCCACATTATTTTACTCTGAAGGCCGCTTTCTGTCCGTTTCTTTCTTTCTTTTTAGTAGTCTCTATCGAAATTATACCAAATATTTTTCACTAATGTACTTGAGTAGAATCATTTAAACCGTATGGTATCTTGCACTGTACTACACTTCTACTTTACTTAGAGTTGGAAATAGTTTTAAGTTTTATAAGATTACTTACGGCTTACCTGAATCTCATTGACGATACCTTTCTATTGTCTAATACAGATCAAGACACACTCTCTCGCTGGTGATCGTGAGCGATACTTTGCCGATGATGATAAGCATGATCTTAAAGCTCTTGTTAGTGCATGCATGATAATTTGCGTATTCGAATAGTAAAATTATACCTGTAATAATTTCGAATATTATATGGTATATTTATGGTTAATTAGTTTCAACATGAGAAGGAAGGAAACTCGTTGGATTACAACAATGTGTTATCCCGCCTATCTAATAAGGTAATTTTCCCCCTTCGCTCTAAAATAATAATGGTAGCGTCATAAAGTTCAAGCTTTCTGTAATAATTTGTCCTTGAGAAAATTTTCCACCACTACAGAATAATATTCGCATGCATTACGTCGTTAGGGCCGTGCGTCTGTCGATTCCGAAAATTTCACTTTAGACGATATGTTTGAAAGCAGTCTAGCACGTGAATTGACCCCAGGACAAAAATATGAACGTGAAAAACGGAAAGCGACAATTGGTAAAATTATTCTATTTGATGTAATAAATATACTATGCTCAAATATGGTGCTATAAATAGTATTGCTATTGAAGAAAATTAGAACATACGAGAAATTCATTAAACAAAATTAGAATTAGAATTATTTGTCCTTCTTAGAGCAACACAAGCTAATGGAAAAGCAATCCAAATGTCCGTTTTGTATAGATAGTAGTATCTTTGAGAAACATTTACTGATTGCTTTGGGCATCAAGGTATCCCTTATCATTATGAGAGCTTTTTTGTTCATAATCGGAATAAACCGAAAATTACTTTAAAAATGTTTCAGGTTTACCTATCATTGCCTAGTCATCGCCCTTTAACGGACGGTCACTGCTTTATTGTTACAATGGCTCACGAATTAGCTAGAACTGCCTTGGATGAAGATGTTTTGCATGAAATAAACGTAAATTCCTTATTAAGATTATTTCTACTGCAGTAGCCTGCATATATATGTAATATATGTATGAATTTACCGTTATATTTTCTTCGAATATAGGTTTATCGGAAAGGTTTGACGAAAATGTTCGCTGAGAAGGTACTGCTTAGCAGCAATCTTACATGTTGAAGTTAGGTCTTAAAAAACTGCAATTGCTTCACTAATATTTAGTCTTCATAAGTGTATAGAATTCAATTTACTTATTGCCATGTAGACTTATTCCAATTTGCTCTTGATAAATTTGTATTAACCACCAGGGGATGACTGCAATATTTATTGAAACATGTATAAACATAAGGCATCACCGTCATTTATGCATCCAGTGCTTACCAGTTCCACAAGAAATTGGCGATATGAGTCCCATATACTTTAAGGTTCGTAAAATGTTAGTAACATTAATTCACAGGCTCTACTATATAAGCATATTTGCTTAAATACTGCAGAAAGCTATCCAGGAATCAGATACAGAATGGTCTCAAAATAAGAAACTGATTTCGTTTAGTGAAGCGAAATTGACTCATTCAGTACGTGATAGATAAAATATTTCCTTCATCACTGAATTTCTATATATTTTACATGCTATCAGTTGCTTTACCAATGATATCAGTTTTCTCCGTACATGGCTTACGTTTAAACCTATGATACTACAGATACCTAAAGGATTTCCGTACTTTGCGGTTGAATTTGAGTTAAATGGAGGCTTTGCTCATGTCATTGAAGATGAAGATTTATTTCCTTATTACTTTGGGCAGGTACTCGAACTACTGATCATAGACAATGTTAAATTCATGTCTGAAGTGTTTTATCGAATTAGTAATTAGTAGCGTAAATATTATAGAAAGCAGGTATTCATCCGCCCTATTCTTTTACTATTAGGAGATTATTGGTGGAATGCTAGACGTTGATCCATATTTATGGAGACGACCGCCGAAGGAGAACTTTAGTCAACAGCAAAAACGAGTTATTGAGTTTTCAAAATGGTGGAAACCGTATGATTGGACGCAGAAGATTGAACGATAACATAATGTGTCGCAATAGCATTAGATACTAAGTTTTGTATTTAGGTCGTTGTTGTGACATATTTAATCTTATTCCGAAAAGGTCATCTAGAGGACAGATATCCAAAATTGCACTAACCACTACAGTACTACAATCATGTATAGTTTAATAATATAATTAGCACCTGCGCTTTCATCAGAATCATTTTAGCTTTCAGCAGTATTTACAGTTCAGCATCACTCACGACTTGTGATGATTGTGACCTTGCAATTTCTAAGTGAAATGTGTATATATATTTTTCGTTGTCTTAAGAAAAAATTTCAGTAATGTCAATAAAATTATGCTTTCTACACTTTCAGCAAGCAAATAGATTTTTTTATTGTTTTCAAATAATTAAAAATGTCAAGAGCTCTATAAAAAGGTTAAAATTCCTTTAGTATTTAATCTAGAGCATAATCAATTTTAAATTTTCCTTGACTTAAATCAAGCTGGTGCAGATGTAATCCGTCATATTACGTATAACGACAATGAATAGACATTCAGCCCTTAGTCGTATTAATACTTTCAGAAGCATCTAATAAAGAAAATATGTAATACAATGATCTTTGCCAATACAAGATAACGGATCATTTCACATGCCATTATAAGCTGGACCGCCACCATTTTCAGGCACAACCCAGTTAATATTTTGACTAGGATCTTTGATATCACAGGTTTTACAATGAACGCAATTCTGAGCATTAATTTGTAAACGGCTACCTCCGTCTTCATTTTGAACAAATTCATAAACACCAGCAGGACAGAAACGTTGTTCAGGGCCATCGAAAATAGTTAAGTTATGACTGACGGGGACGTCATCATTTCGAAGCGTTAAATGAGCTGGTTGGTCATGCTCATGATTCGTTCCACTTAAGGCAACAGATGAAAGCAGATCGAAACTGACCTCATTATCTGGCTTAGGATACTCAATTTTCTTGCACTCGCTACTTGGCTTTAATGATACATGGTCAGGTGTTTTATGTTTCAGTGTCCACGGTTCATATCCCTTGGAAATAAAATTTAAAGCACCTGCGAAGATTCCTCCATACATTCCTAAAAATGTATGGCATGAAGGTCGAATATTACGAACTGCATAAAGTTCCTTCCAAGCCCAACTCTCTTTAAAGCGTGTTTCATATGAATCTATTTCAATCCCTAAAATAGTGAGAGTTTAAACTTGGATATTTTATCTGAGACAGATACACCAAGTATTTATAGAGTTACCTGTATCTGAAGAAGCCATATCGTTGGCAATAGCATCAAAAGCACATTCGGCAGCAATTATACCACTCTTCATAGCGGTATGAGTTCCTTTTAACTTCGGTACATTCATGAAACCAGAACTGCACCCAATTAAAAGGCCCCCTGGAAACGTTAACTTTGGAACTGACTGTAACGTAGTAGTCCATAGTCACAATTACCAAAGGTACAGCGGTAAAATTCGCTAACTATATTACGAAGCGTCATAAAATTAAATTTACCTGTACGCCACCCTCATTTAAAGCACGCGCTCCATAGGCAATACGTTTCCCACCTTCAAATATGGGTCTCACAGTTGGGTGTTGCTTAAATCTCTACCGCACATTGTTACAAATTTCAAATGAACTCTCTCATTCTATCTATCATTTGTTCAATCAGTGTTTACATATTATATTCACGATTAACAGTCTTTGTCATTACCTGAAACTCCTGAAAAGGGCTTAGATACGGATTACTGTAATCGAGACCAACCTAAATATTATGTTAGACGGAATTGATTAATACCACGCGAGAATATTATAATCAAGAATGCAAAATCATAATGTAGTCATGCTACGTGACCAAAAGTTATAGATGATCAACTTAATAGCTAAACTACAACGTAAAATAAAAAAAATACACGTTACAGAGATAATAAACTATTAATTATACATAATGCATACCACAAAGCCAACAGCAATCATAGGCGAACCTTCATTTAAATGGTATAAAAATGATCCACCATAAACAGATCGATCCTGCAATATGGATAATCAGAACTGTTTTACTAATTCTCGCTAATTTCATAAAGGTATATCCAGTATAATTACGCAAATTACACACGTACTTAAACAAATAGCCTACTAATAAAGCAGTTTAAAGATTATTATCATTCGTCCATTAAAAAATTCATGCAATGCCTACCAGCGGCCATCCAAATGTATGCTCAATCCTGCCAGGTCGCCATTTTTCTGGATTTACTTCCCATAGCTACATTACAAGTTCACATTAAATAAATTTATTTAAATCCTGTATTTTACATTACTTCTATTTTCATACCGTACAGTGAATTGAGCTATAATAGTTGATTATAATTATCAGTAGAGATTTACCTCTTTTATACCTATTCCATAAGTTTGGTGCTGACAATCTCTACGAAGGTCGAACTGTTTCATAAGCATTTTAGCAAGGTGACCATGACATCCTTCAGCAAATACTGTTAATTTTGCGTGTAGTTCCATTCCCCGTTCAAACGTGGGCTAAAATTGATGTAAATATTACAACAATTTATAATCGTTATATTAATGCATAGTATCTATAGAACTTAATGACATGGTCCAGTTTTTTACTTTGGGTGCTCCATCTTTCTGTATTCCTACATCGTTAGTAGCAATCCCTTTAACGCTGCCGTCACTATGATATAATACCTTATGCAAGCAGAACATATCACTCAGATTAATTTACGTCTGAACTCGTGCAACATAGCCAATTTATGTACCCGTATCACATACCTCACTAGCTGCATATCCTGGATAAATTTCAACTCCTAGTTCTTCAGCTTGTTCTCCTAACCATCGAACGAAATTTCCTAAGCGGACAATGTAATTGCCGTGATTATAGATTGGGGTACCTAAAATCGATCATATAAGCATAAATTGTGCATCATTTTCATTTATATTAGCATTAAGTTAAAAATGATATCAGTGATAAGTATACAACTATGCTTTGTAGATAGTGCGACAATTACCAGGGATAACAGGTATCGAGAAGCGACCTTGCTTGGTTAAAAAAGCGAAATGATCTTCCTTTACAGGTGTGTGCAAAGGTGCCTAAGTGTTATAAAACAAAACGTTGATGTAATATTACGTACCTATCAGCTTTCAGTAACTGCAACTTACATTCATCTGCTTCCAATCAGGGAATAATTCATCAAGAGCACGTGGTTCTAAGCAAGCTCCCGATAAAGTATGTGCACCTGAAACCCAGATTTAGTATGATCTTACTTTTAAGTCACCTATGCTATATCTCGTACTTTCAGTATTACAATCTCAAGTGATTTTGAGCTGTTGACAATAAAACTATCATATGCACTCTAATTTTTTACTACAGAATTTTTAACAACCCGGAAGATTGGTAGAATATTAAAATGCTTATGAAACAGACAACAGGATCAATAAAGTCTACTTACAGACACTGCTCACTTACTGGGTTATACTGTACGCTAGTTTAATTGGAAATAAAGACTGTGTATTATGCATGTATAATAATTTGTAGTTTACAGCCTACACCGCTAAGAATGGATATTCTCGCCATATAGAGTAGCTAGATACAGAGCAATTAAAGATATGATCAAGTAATTGCTCCGTAGGACAAAATTGTAAATTTCTAAATTTTATACTTTGATTTAACGCACCAATTTCTGAAGCTTTTTCAACGACGCATACTCTTAATTCCTTTCCATTCTGATCAGCTAACTGCTTCAGTTTTATAGCCGTAGTTAGACCAGCTGGTCCAGCACCGACAATAACAACATCAGCTTCATCAGCAACACGCTCCATGTCAATCTCTGCTCATACCATCAGAGATATTAATCAGTCATTAATCATACTTTATTACATCTAGATGTGTAAAACGTAACATTCGCTGCAATAACACGAGGTGCAACAAGATGGGTTATATGTATGATGAATGCATAATACTACCAATGAACACCAATATACATAGTTCTAATAACATAACGCCTACCTGGCATTCTGTAACATGATGACAAATTGTTGTATCTAAAGTTGAATGATTACGTCTAAGTATACTATCCTAGCAATAATAATTCACGTAATTGAGCCAATACAGAATTCAAGCAAAATATTAGCAAAGGATTGGTAGCTTTTGATATTATTTTATCAATGTTTTAATTTAATACAAGTGATATCATAATTCATCCCAAAGTTGGCATTGTAGAACCTCTCTAAAGTTCTAAGTGCTTATTGATACAGGAACTCTACGCCTCACCCATCTTAATTGGCTTAATTTAGTCCAGTACGTACAATATATTTACGATTGCCATTACAGTAAAAAGTAGTTACTCATAATTACCTTTCCATCTTTTATCTGTGTTTCGTGGGATTATGGAGTAGTGGGTTGTAATCTTAGACTGTTTTTCAACTTGGCTGCAATTTCCTCTCCATAATTTGCTCCAATCTGCAGGTTAAATTAATTAATTCTAGTTAGCATTCACGTTTGTAATTCATAAAATCACTTTGCTAACCTTACCTTTTTGTGCAATACTTTATATATAATTAATATACTGTATAAGGCGTATACTGTAGTTGCAAACATGTAACACTGAATCTGCCCTATGAAGGAAGCATACTATACATACGTATTCTATTTTAAGTATCAACGGAAGTGAAGCAATTACTAGTGTAATCTCACAATATGCACGTCTTTTAATAGTAAATAACAAATAAGGTGTAAATGCCACGCAAAATCCCATCTAACTATATGAAACTGTACAGCGTACGTATATAGCATATATTAGCGTATATACACTATACAGTATACTGCAGTATATACGCACATCAGCGTAATAATGCTGATGCAATCGTAGGGATCGATCGCTGTAGCCGAGCAAAGCACTTCTGCAGTACATACAGTCAATCAGGGAATACTAAAGAGAGAAATTAATGGTCAAGAGTAACACTCGTACCAATGTTTCTACTGAACTGCTTATCAAATCATGATCAAAGCATATCAAAGCAATTAAATCTATCTAATATATTCTTATAAAATAAATGATAATCTAAAATCTAATCCATAAACCGGTTATGTACTGGTTTCCAATACGTTTACGAAATATTAATCTCAAATAGCAGACATTATTTTATCAACATAACCATGTAGAAGTAGCAAAATCGTAGTAATTTTCTTTAAACTGCATATACCTCTTACCTCTACTCATGCAGCGACTAGCCAAGCCAGGTCTAAGTCTGAATAAATTTCCGGCCATTTGTCAACAAGCTTCGAAGTTCGAACAGAATGAGGAGTTGCTACCATGGACAATACAGTATACTGTACTCAGTACCGTATCAAACAGAGATATACTGTACAGTATAAAGTACTGTAGTCTGAAATAGCTCTACAGTACAGTACACTGTAGAATTTGCAGTCTACAGTACAGTACAGTACAGTACAGTACTACGCTATACCGTATTTTACTGTACAGTATAAAGTACTGTAGTCTGAAATAGCTCTACAGTACAGTACACTGTAGAATTTGCAGTCTGTACAGTACAGTACAGTACAGTACAGTACTACGCTATACCGTATTTTACTATACTGTACTGTACAGTACTGTACAGTTACTGCTACTCTACTGTATTACGGTGGACGAGAACGGCCAATACGTTACATTAAAAACTTGCTTACTGAGCCTTCTGGGCCACCGTACTTGCTCTACAGTGCACACAAACCTCATCCACAGCGCGGCGACCAGATACACAGTGCACAAATTTCCTACACAGCGCGGCGCTACAGTACTCCACAAAACCACCTCCACGGTGCACCACTGTCTACAGCGCGGTCCTCGTTTTATTTACAACAGTACAGTAGTAAGTAAATTAACTACCGTACAGTATTGCAAGATGCAGGAAGAGTATTCTCGGCCACCGTACAGTGTACTGTACAGTAGTATTTGTACAGTACTACTGGCCACTGTAGTATTTGTACAGTATTTGTGTACTGCATTACAGTACTGTACACTGTACAGTAGAAGAAGACCTACAGTACAGTACAGTACAGTACTGTACTGTATAGTACTGTAGTGTGTGCTAAGAACTCACGCCAATGAGCGTTGATCACTGTACTGTACTGACTGTGCACTCTACTGTACTGTACACTGTACACTGTACAGTAGATCACTATCATTTTGATAGAGTACAGCAGGTCATTTTCTGTGATCTCGGTGTCATCTAGATTTCTTACCGGCTGGGATTTCTATTCGCCCTTATCCTTTGTCGCATTAATAACCTTACCGTATAGTATCCGGACCAACTTGGAAGAAGTATCCTAAAGAAAGAAGCTTATTTATTAATTAATGTCCCGTCGCGCTCATGATACTTCGCATACTGTAAATTCAATCAGTACTTACTACAATATTAGACACAGTCATACTGTACTCAGTACAGTATGATTATGAACAGTGCCAATGTACACTTGTACAGTACAGTACAGTACAGTAGTAACAGTCCTAATTGTTCTAATCGCGTATACCTGAGTTTTTTCCTTCTATCTCCTGTTCAGCGATCTATTGTAATCCTGCCATCTTTTACTAATAATTTAGTAAGCTTTGCCATATTTCGATTTACATTTATTCCAACGTAATAATGCTCTACGTAGAAAGTTTTGAATGCCTTGAGGACGGCATTACTGACTGCAAACTCAAACACTGTCACGTTTACACACCTATTTACAGTGCTCGCAAGACCATTGATTTTGACTCTAGTGCACGTACAGTACTGTACGTACTGTACTGTAAGACAAACGGGGCACGTACGCATTACCGTCTGTAATGACAGGGCATGCACTCTGAACTGTACTACAGTACAGTACAGTATACTGTATGGTCACTACAGCCATGGACTACTGTACTGTACTGTACTGTACGTCCCGAGATTTGCAGTACAGTATGTACTGTACAGTACAGTACTGTACTGTAATGTACTGTACGGTACGGCCGATCCTTCACTTTTAATTACGGTCACGTACATTACGTTTTACTTCAGTTCACTGCATTTGGGGTTCGTGCGAGAGCCGAAACAAAAAGAAAAGAAAATGATTTCTTTTTAGGTTAAGAACGTTCGTCAGTTAGTCAACTTCTTAATTCCTAAATGGCAAGCTGTAATGAAATTCCTCTTTGTGAATCAGTAACTGATGGGCATTTATTAGTAGACCAGGACGCCTATTGCTCCTTATGCTTCAAAAAACTTATCAGTGTGAAATGTTCTCTCTGTCAAAGTGCTTATTATTGTAGCAAGGAGCATCAACAATCCCATTGGAAAATTCATAGAGAGAACTGCATGGATGAACGGAGGCCCAAAATTGGCTGCGATAAAACAGGTTTGGCTCTAGAAAAGACTTGGCAGTTACAGAAGAATGAAAGATTATCCAATATGGTTGTGAACCAGTTAAATACGAATGGATTTTGTATCATTAATAATTTCCTGGGGAGCAGTTGTAGCACAGAAGTCCTCCAGCAAGTGTTAAATCTATATCAAAGTGGAGTCTTCAGTAATGGACAGTTAGCTCGTAATGTGTCAGTGAACCGAATTCGTGGGGATAAAATAGCTTGGATTGGAGGCGATGAACGTGGATGTGAAGCTATTAAATATTTAAGTTCATGCGTGGATTCTCTGATTTCTCGTTGCAACGGACGATTGGGGAATTACATGATAACTGGAAGGACGAAGGTAAGGGATAAATATACTGTACGATGTGCATGTACGCATACCTACAGCAGTACTAAATGTTCATGCAATGCTGAACGTAATGTAAATTACGATGTTGTGATGATTAATGACATTTTTGCCTTATTGTTATCATCATTTCACATAATACCATACTGTAGTATGCTGTACTGTGTGGACAGTGTCCAGTACAGTAATCGTACGAGTTTTACAGATTGCGGATAGAAGCGGAGACTACTGTACAGTACACAGTTTAGCGTATAGCGTGCATGACATTGGCTTAATGAATTCCTGATTACTAAACCTTATTACAGACAGAACTGTAATACAGAGCGGGGACTTCTAAGAAGAAAGTTTTCTTATTAGAAATCCCTGGACGAAGTTACAAACGGTATCATAGATAGACTGCATCTGGACCACAGACTTCCAAGAAAAAATTCTTTTGGAAGCCCCTATCTGGACGTACTAATGAAAGTATAGTAATTCAGCACCGTCGAGTGCTGTCCTTTCCGAAGCTCGGACGAGAGACAACTCGTTCTTGAATCAATGATGTTAAAAGGGACACATCTTAGTACTGTAATTGTTTATTATCCTTTTATTAACGTAAAAGCGCTGTCTTCTGATAAAATTTTATTTACTATGAGTCAGTACGGAAATAATCTAATCTGTTTAAGCAAACACACCAAAGTAACATCCAGTAAATGATCATTTTTCGATTTCTCTGAGTCTTTGGTGAATTCTCAAGCAGGCAAGTGCTTAAAAAAATAATATTAACAGCATCACGGAGAGGTAAGAAATCATTGGTCTTTTCTAGCCTCACACAGAGCATCTTAGATCCTTAAATTGTAACTAATCTCTCCAGATTAAAGCGAAAGTATGGGTATCCATTTACATGTTTGCTCAGTTATATGGTATTCTACACTCTTATACAGTAAAAACCCGGAAAATGTACGTGCAATGATTGGACACGGGATCATCAACTATTATCATGTATTAACAATTACTAATTTACAGTATGTTCACGAGATTTGTAAATAAATTACAAACTGAGATGCTCAATATACTGTACTTGTATAGTAAGAAAGCGTTGATTTATGTTACTTACGATAATTAACAGCTAAATATTATACTTTACTGTACTATGTATTAAGTAGTTTTTAATTGTTCATCCAGCAGTTTGTTGGGAAGTCGGTATAGTATATGACTTGGTACTAATGATAGTTGCTTGATACCTTGCGACTGTTAGAGTGCTACATAGAGCCTAATAAGTCCATAGGGTGTATTATTGCAGTGCTGTAATCGCGCTATACCCTTTAAACATGCAGTGTTATGATGCAGAAAGTTATTTAGTTATCGTACACGATTGTAATGGCTTATGGGTACATCTATTCTTGAATATATAAGCAAGATAACGCATGATAAGACACGCGTATCATTGTTTTCACGGAATAGAAAATACCCCTTGCCTGATTATCCGACATTAATTCTGATTAAATATTAAAATTTGACCATTATGGCGCTTTCCTTACTTCCCCTATATGGCAACGGAATAACTTTTCACATGATTTTTATCTGCGTAAATGTATTAAATAAACTTATTTGTATAATGATTTATCGATCTCATATTGCTACTAGGTAAAAAATATTGTTCTTTTTTATATAATGTTAGTGCATGGTTGCGTGCTATCCCGGAAGTGGTCTAGGCTACATTCGCCATATAGATAATCCCAATCGCGATGGAAGATGTGTCACGGTCTTGTATTATCTTAACCCCAACTGGAACAGCCAGGTTATTAGTAATATGATACATAAGATTTGTTATAGATTAAGAGTTGATAAATTAGGTTATAAAAATTGCGACCTTTTGTCACCAAATTATATGTAGCCATACATAAATTCAACTTCTTGATTGATAAGGTACTCTGCAAGTCTTATTTAATCTTGTATTGCCTTCATCATTGATTTCATTATAAGAGATGAGATCTTGCCAAGCATATTTTGGTCTTTGCAGTGAATATATTGTATTTATATTATAGCCTATAGTGTATGATTCTATCTTTCAGTGATTTACTTGATGCAATAATTATGAATATGTCAGTTTAAAAAAATTTATCATTATCATAACATTGATAATATTTAAAGTAAGATTACATAAAATAAATGCAAAAGATTTTATTAATCTTGCTACGATCTATATGATAAATTACCTTATAGAAATTGGTTATGAAATTTTATGCGCATTTTTAGGGAATTTTCAAATTTATTAACTAATATTTAACTTACTACTAAAGGACTGTGGAGGACAGTTGTGGCTATACCCAAATAATGAAAATAAAGTAGTCAAAATTGATCCAATTTTTGATCGTTTACTGCTTTTCTGGTCAGATAGGCGAAATCCTCACGAAGTAAAGCCTGCATATGCAATGAGGTACGTTAGCTTAAAGGAAGAGTCAAGTAACTACTGTGTTCTTGGAAATCTAAAAAATGAAATTATCTCTATGTATTACCTAGATATGCTATCACTTTGTGGTATTTCGACGAGAAGGAACGAGCTCTTTCGTCTCAGAATGGTACATAGGCACACCCTATTTTAAAAATCGCAATACGTAAGCATGGCCTGTACTAAATTTTTATAAAAGTCAAGAGATTTCGTTTTCGGCTCTGAATCTACTAAATCGATAGCGTGGACTATTGAAGTACTGCCAAAATTATTCTGAATCGTGATTCGAACAAGCACGTGTAACAAAACTGTGAAAGGAAAAAAGCGAATCAGAAATAATTTAAAGCTAATTGTTATAAAGCTTAAATGAGCACAACAGTAGCTTAAAAATTTTATACTGAATTGTACTATAATTTTCGACAAATTTAAAGTAATGCAGTTAAAAATGAAATATTGTACCGTACATACTATCAAATCGTTTAGGTATGAAAGACGGCTTCGAGTACTTGGTATTCGCTTACTTTCAAACTGCTTATTATCGTACTTACATAATATAATTATTATTTTAAGAATTTATGAAGTTGCTGAGATTTAAGAAATTCTTAGCAAGTCTTAACGAATTAGCTAAATCAAAACAGGTATTGTCTTATCTACAGTCTTTAACATGGTTTAAAATTAGTATAGTATAGCTATGTATTGAATGTACCTGTCAATGATCAGCTATGTTGAATATGATTATACTTGTAAGCATGATACGTTGCGCTATGAAACTAATTCACTGTTGCCTGTATTTTATTGAAAATAGCATATAATAATAGCCATATAGCAATAATAATTGGAATATATACAGTATAATGTAAATTCGTATACAGTACTACTACCAAGATGGTTGCTAATGGTAATGTTTATATAGATTTGCCTTCGAATGTATACTTAAAGGTAATATCCTAACAGATTTAGACAGTTGTAGAGTTGAAAAGATTTCGAAACTGCAGTGTTAAAGTTTTAAAATTACTAATGGATCTACATTGTATCACCCTTCTGCATACTAAACTTTCAGCGTTTATTATTTGATTGATTGCGTGTCTTATGGCTGCTAATAATTTCAATGTAGTGAAATTTCATATTATAACGCGCATACGTGATTAATACTTTATTTTAGAAGTGCTGCGAACTGAATTTAAAATAAGTTGATACGGCTTACTACTGTCTGCGATAGAGAATGTCCGCAACTGTATTTCATACCGTTTAACTAATACTTGCAATTGTTTCTAAAATTATGTGATTAGTCATATGCCCGTACTTAATTTGTTACAATTAAAAGCTGTTAATTTAACAGTAAGTTTAGTATTCAATTGATTCTACCTATCAAGTAGTGCTATAAATTGCCATCTAGTATCAGTTTCGGCCCGGCCCGCCCGACACTGAATTAAACCAAACACCCACAGAAAGGTTTAGTGTCAAAACTTGTAACCGTCCTCAATAGTCGTTCAACGGAAATGAGTCATGCGTACTGTAAATTTGCTTTCCGAGCGTACTTGTAGCATGTTTCCAAGTACATTATGTAATTTTCATGAGTTATTAATAACAGTTTTATTAATTAATGGTCAACATACGAGTATGATGAATGTAATCTATCACATGTATTGTATATACTGTATATGGCACAAGTTTGATCCAAATATAGTTATAAACAAACTGCAGGTTTCTTTTCCATAGAAAGATATTAGTTATTCTCACAAAATATGAAGGTCTGATCTTTAATATTCATGATATAACGCAACCGTAAAGGTTCACTACAGATTTTAATGAAGTAAACAGTTATCAAGCATGAGATTTAAAATAGGTTTAGTTATGAACTACGTTAAACTAGGTTTAAGATTGATATCGTTATACCTTGTGAGCATTGAAAAGGACTTTACACAGATTTTGACATAGTGTATAAAAAATCTGCACCCTTTTAAATTGTTGCATTATTTTAGCTAATAACGGCTCACAGGAGTGGCCTAGTTTTGGTAATTTAACATTATAATTATTTGTTATTAAACATTGAGATGAATATAATAATCGATACTAATAAGACGGCTACTCACGAACGGTATCAATGAAATAGAGAAAAATAGCCGTTTATCAGTATAATGAACAATGCAGGAGACGAAAAACTATTCGTTGCCTTATGTTGCACAAAAGTATTTCTACTTTAATGACCTACAACTTCATAATTATTGGCATAACAATTACATACATAGAAGGCTTATTAATCTTCGTTATAATAAATCTACTGCATCCGAATTATTTAAATCCTAACCACAATATCTATGTAGACAAAAACGTATAAACTAAAATCTAAGAGCATTACTTTCTAAAGATTATTATTAGTTTGTAATTTATGCCCACGCAGATCAATCTTCTAATACAAGCAAATATTGTTGGACTTTGAAACACAATTTTATACTCAGTATTATTTTACGATCTCAACCCTTATTTTTAGGACGAATCTATATGAAACTCTATCAAGCACAAGGAAAAACATAGATTTTCGTTGTTAATAATTGAAAATCTTAGTGTTACTTAATATACTCAATGATAGCTTATAATAATATTACTATACTATCAGGGAAATAAAATGACTCAAAAATATCCTAAAGTACAGCTCAAATTGATAGTATCATCTTTAAAATTATCGATATAAACTTTTATATCGTGACACTTATTAGTATCTACAGTAAGAGCCAAAGTCAATAATGCAACAGCTGTGATTATTCAATATATATCCAGTTATGATCTTCTATCTGCCCTTTTCTTCGATGTAGCATGCATTTCTTGATATAGAACATGACAAATTGGTTTTTAAATTACTTGATGAGTACAAAACTGATCGACGTGTTGCGAGGTGGGCGTTCATGTTGGTTATATGCAGTAATTGATAAGGTCATACAATTAGTGTTCTTATATTTTTGGATCCGTTTTAAATCATAACGTACTTAACATATACAAAGAATTAAGCATTAGCAACTAACGAATATGAATTCGTTTCAATCATTATTTTTCCGCGGATTTTACTTTGCTGAGCTTTTAAAATTGAACATAGTGCAACAATTCTTAAGTAACAGTTTTCGAATAGCGACATTTGAAGTACATGAAATTCCGCTTTAAATATTTCCATATTTCAATAGAGGTGCGGTAATCTATCATATTTTATCCGCCATGTCGAAGAGAAGCTTAATCATAATTATCTCTAAGTTAAGATCAAAACTAATGCAAAGAGCCCGACTTCCATGTCACATGCAAACTATTCGTATAATTAATAGTCGCAGATGTTGTCTTCATATTTGAATCTAATAATAAGACGTTACATCAGTATGTCAAAATATAGGCACTGTGTGACTGATGTAGATGTTTACTTTAACTTACAATCTGTTTCCTTATCAGAATAGCTGAGAATACCTGCTTTCTCATGCGAAGTGTATATATATGCATGTATAGCTATAAATTCAGCTAGCAGTAAAAGAGCTATAATCTCCCCATAGTGCCGCAAGAGTCGTAATATAAATTACCAATCCGACATAGAGGTATAACGCTAGCAGATTATCTTTGATTATAAGTTTTAACAAGTAAGCAATGCATCTATTACATGAAATTTGGGTATATCAGGCTTTAAAAAAATGGGCTAACTAAACTGCTGATTATGGAGATCCACTGAACGTATAGTATGCATTTAATAACATTAATCATATTCCTACTGCTATTATTATTACGCACAGGATGCTAACGAACCGGTTTATCATTTGGATATTATTTCTTGGTATAACGACTGCGCAAAATGTTGCAAAAGGTATTATAACAAAACATTCTAGAGATATATGCTATTTAATTTATAGCAATAAAATTTTAAGGTACAAGTAGAAACTAGGATAGTATCTTTATCATAAAAATATTTTATGTATTAGGCCATGGAAACTTATACAGAAATAACATTAAGGCGCACTATAGGCTAACTAGAATCGAATTAATCTGTACTCTGTTTTCAGATATTGGCTATAATCAGAAATAAATAATTATTTTACTTCAGGTAAAGCCCAAATAGGCAATCATAAATCTGTTTTCCTCAAAAATGAAGCCACTAGACCAGAAAGAGATCAACCACCTAGATGGGGTAGAGATCAGCCAACTAGATGGGGAAGAGATCAACCGCCTAGATGGGGTAGAGATCAGCCACCAAGATGGGGAAGAGATCAACCATCAAGATGGGGAAGAGATCAACCGCCTAGATGGGGAAGAGATCAACCGCCTAGATGGGGTAGAGATCAACCGCCTAGATGGGGTAGAGATCAGCCACCAAGATGGGGTAGAGATCAGCCACCAAGATGGGGTAGAGATCAGCCACCAAGATGGGGTAGAGATCAGCCACCAAGATGGGGTAGAGATCAGCCACCAAGATGGGGTAGAGATCAACCACCTAGATGGGGTAGAGATCAGCCACCTAGATGGGGTAGAGATCAGCCACCAAGATGGGGTAGAGATCAGCCACCTAGATGGGGTGGAGATCAATTACCTGAAATGGAAAAAAATCACGCTCCACCAAGGTGGGGTAGAGATCAGTATTCATGGTGGAATCAAGAGCAATATCCTAGCAGATGGGGGAGAGAATATTCTACCCCTGATAATACTGCAGAAAAATTGTTAGATTCTCTCACTCATCAGTCAGAAAATGCGAAAAAGAATAATTTTCAAGAAATCAATAGTGATTCAAATAGTGGTAACGAATCAGCTGTCCATCGCCTATTCTCAAATAAGCTAAAGAATCAGAAAGCAAAATCCGACTCAAATAAATTAATGAATAGCTTTTCAGGCAGTGAGAGTATTTCCAGACCGCGTGAAAAGAGTTTAAAGCGATCAGAAACACTGGACAATATGCGTATAGATTTAATATAGATTAAAAACTATAACATTTACGGCTTTAATGATATATGTTAGGTGACCATCTTGCGGAAAATAGATCGTTAAGACAGTAGATTTTACTAGAATAGTTAGTGATCTTAAATGACTCAAATATTTACGTACCATGCGTTAGTCATCTTTGGTCAATCGCTTGAAATTTAAATTGTAATATGAAGTAAAAACAAAAGAATTTGAATGTGACTGTATACTTAATAAATATAGGATTAGCGAATTATGTATTTTTAGTCTTTCAGAAAGAACTAATAATTAGAGGATCAAAAGATCGTATCAACTCTGATCGTATAAACTCTTATAAATATTTATCTATGAAGAGGTAATATAGCATTCATCAATTATTGCTTATGTTATACCGCATAAGTACAGAAGAAAAATATGAACTAATTCAATAGCTAACGTAATATCGCCAATTCTTGATCGCTAAAGCCTAGCTTTTCTAGCAATCGACTACGAGCAACTATGATCTAGAACTGATTATACGATATATATCATTTATGTTCGAATTTCCGACAGAAAAAGATTTGCGAAAGCGTAAATTAGACTAAAGCTAGCGTATCGGTAGAACCATTTACTTTTACCCTTGCTAAGTTAAGTATCTATAGCCACCTATAACGTATTTCGTCGATATGGTAGGCTCAACTGACTAGATTGTAATGAGCGAAGTTATACATTAGATCCGAGACTACGTAGGATAACGATCACACGCGATATACAGATGATTCAGAAAAAGGTTTAGGTTTATTGCAAGGACACGCTACAGGATCGAGATCGGTATTCCGAGATAGCTATGTAACATCTGCATGTATTATATCAGAAGCAATACTATTTAACAGTCTTATTCTGTACTTCGGCTACCGTACTACGGTACGTATACTCTGCAACTACAGCGCTTCGTATTATAATAATCATAGTCCTTATCTACATTACATAGTTGGTGTTACTACACATATCACATAGATGATAATATCCATCGTAAATTCAGGAGATGTGAAAGCGTTCGTCATCAATAATTTGTTTCTAAGTTAAACAAAATACCTTTAACTGGTAGATATCATGTAATATATTTGTACGCTTATAGTGCTGTACATCGCTATCAATAGTAATATTTCTATATAATATGGGCAGTATTTTAGTTATTACGGTTTATAATGACATAAACAATCCTTGATTGATAAGTCTACGATCACTTGAAACAAAGCGAAGATAACAAAGGACAACAATTTATTGCAATTTTTATCCTAATGCTGAATTAATATCAAAATCAAAGCTGAATGGGCCTGCAAGGTTGATATGAGTAATTGTACTGAAATAGAATCCCAATACCCAAAAAAGTAGCGTTTACCTAAACAGATCTCACTCTAATAGAAACGAGGTAGTAACGCTTGAATTAATTTGGTAAGGGTCAAATTGTATCGTAAATAGCTCAAATTTACATCTTTCATAAATACCAGTACGAAAAATTCAGAGTCGTATAAAATATCTCGCGCCAAACTGCATCATCAACATTTCAATTTTGTATCTAGACTACAAAATATGGTCATGTAACACTGTCACAAAACAGCTTTGCAACAAGATAACGTAATCTACGATCAATAAGTCAATTCCTTGAACTACGTATCAAGGAACGATATCTGCACTATCACGAGCACTTTTGCTCTACTAGCAGACTACACAAAGACTTAAACGCCTCGTATTTTACGTTAAACACTAAGTTGGACAATTCTTCTTTATTTCACGATATACTGCATTTATATACTACTAGTGCAAACTCCCGTCGCTTTACTGACGGTTTACGATAATGTGCTCATTTAACAATGCAGACAACAGTATTTACGAACATAGACATGTAATGACTAATACAGAATAGTCAGATTACGATATGTCCTATCACGGAACATTTCCATGATAATTTACAGTCTACCATAAGTAAATTACAATCACAATGATTCGAACTGTAAGCAGATGATTTGCATTCCCTATTATAACTATTAATTTCAGTATGTGTATAAGTATCACTGTCATAAAAAGTCAGTGCTATATTAAAACACAGTATATCCAAATTAGAAGTTAACTAAATAAGGATAGTCTAACAGAATTATCCTAACATAGTTATTTCTACTGTAATACAGTATTTAACACTGTAACAAACACGTACAAGATATGTATGATTAAGTCCTAGCTACACAGCTGACTAGACAATAAATGATTTTCATCATTTATCAATATCGCAAAAATTAAAATTGCGATTACCGTACCCTGTCTATAGTTATACTCCTGTTTACAGTATATAAAGGTTAGAGAGATTATTTTTCGTCATAAAACTAAACCTTAGTTGGAAGAACGGTGATTTCACCTCTTAATTTTATAATAAATCATCGTGAAATGCGGATATTGTTCTAAACTCTTTTAGTGTTATGTTATTTAAAGATTTAATGATCAATCATCGGCCAAAAATATTCGTAGTTGCACGAATATTACCAAATGTTGTTGTACTCATACATCGTAAGACTACTGCATAAATATGCCATCAATCATTTAAACATGCTGAAAACTCAATTAATCTTTATAGGCTTCTGTATGTACCTAGTGCTCATTACTTAGTCATCAATAGGTTTATGATAAGTTCTACGCTTGAAACCGTAATGATTGAAGTAAAAGCCAAATAGATCTAACAAAGATTACGTAACTAAAGAATTAAATTCCTTTAGTACCATTTTTAATTACAATACAGGTAAGTCTTGATGCAAAATTAGACTTTTAATCGCTTTTTATTAAGTAATTCACCTCTTATTTGCTTTGATTTGAGCAAAAATACATAGAGAATTTTTTGTTCGGCTATAAATTTAATAAGAAAATTCATAACTTTTACATGGCATTTAATAAAAGCTGGAATGAAATCCATTTAATATGTCAAATATTTTCAATTGCAGAAGCCTTTAGCAGCTACCGAATTAGTGTCCAGTATAGCTTATTGGCATCTCGCTTTACATCCAAGTATGAAATTTTGCATTAATTTGATGTAATAAGGGAAAAGAGATCTAAAATTAAACGACGGCAGAAATGAAGTCTATTCTTCTGGTTTGATCCAATATATTTTTATATGATTCTCAGCTATGTGAAAACAATAACCGTATTCTGCAGTCTATCCGATACTGTTATTACGGTAAGTAAATGACACATTACCATCGCAGAACATAACATCAGATGCGTTGGCATAGGTATTTTAAACTTTCCGAGCTCAGTAGATCTTTATGATTAACTGATAAAAATGGAATTCTATTAATTAATTTTCTACCATTTACAAATATTCGCTATTAAAACGGTAAGCAGATGGCTTAAGCGATGTATAGAGATAGATAAATGCTAGGAAATAGTAGCACCTATCAAAGTGATTATTATCATGAACTATAAATATCTACAATTGTCGACAATTTATAGGAAATTCTTAATTATTAGTATTTATTACACAGAATCCTTTCGTATTTAATTATATCTTCTAACATTATTTTGAAAAGTTCTCGTTAAATGAACAAATTCTTTAATGTTATTTATTTTCGTCTAGACGCTGATAATTATCTTTGGAAAATGGAATTAATATGATTAAATATGGTAATGAAGACGGTGCGTTCATAGTGAATGTGACTTAAGAAATATTTCAAATTATTCGGATTAAAAGAAATTTGTTTTAGTATGTATACATGGTCTTCGTTCCTTTACGCCATAAGTTTTAGATAGCAAAACATAAACAATTTTTTCTATTAACATTAAAAATCAAACATTATCAAAACTGAATATAGGAGCGGTAAATATCCTGCAATCATACTCCTTAGAAACATTTATTAAGGAATTTACCTTTGCCGATAAACCAAAATTTCGAGCATTAGCTAACTATGATGATAAATAAAATTAGCAATGGCCATTATAACAGAAAATAGCCAAAACTGAATTAATTCCGTGTTGACGATATTATAAGAATGTTCGCTTGGTATTGAAATCACTTATTACCCACTTTTGTTGAAGTTAATCAAAATACATACAAGTAATATTACCTTTCTACAACTAAAATGAAAAAACATTTGCAAAGGTTATTTCTTCATGTATGTGCAAAATCAATTTGCCCAATATTAATATTAAAAATAACTTAATACTCGCATATCGAAGAGGATGAAGTTTATGACGCCATGGCATGAATTTTCACTTTGCTTTAATTTAAGAAAGGAGTACTGGCGCCACTAAAATTTTGATAATTATGGATGTATTCACACAGTTAGAGAAAAATTTTCTCTTCGAGAAAATTTCTTGATCCCTCTCTCTATAGAATTAGCTGTCCAATTCATTTATTCTCATACTCGTATATTCGCATATTAAAGGCGGTTAACATACAGGAATTTGTGTTATAAGCTTTATTATACTTAAATTAAAGATACAAGTATGTGGAGGTAAATCATAATGTTGATCAAAAGAGATTATTTTAATTGACTTATCGATAATTAACTTACACAGTATTGTTAATAAGCTCTGTAAGATAGATGCATGATAAGCTGTCTGTTATGTAATTATAATATAAATTGAGTTCTATTCAAGTACTTTGTCTAGTAAGTAAATAAAAATAAAACTTAAACGTACGCGCTGATTAATTTATTCCTAATCCATCATCTATTCTTAAAATATATAATTCGCAGTGATCTTGATATACTTATTAGAAAATGGCAATTTATCTATTAATGCTTTCAGACGGAATAGAATGAAAACATTACTCCGTTTCTTGGACTGCTTTTAATAAAATAAAAGACCTGGGTCAGCATTATAGATTTTTGAAGTCTTATATTTTGTTGATCTGTTTATATTCTGAGGAGAGGAAATTACTCCAGTAATGCTCGTTATGACATATTACACTTTATAAATCATGTTTCGCTTACAGATATTGGGAATAGGGTTACTTTTACTACAACTTTAAATAACTTCTTAGCTAATTGCTTTACTAGGTTAAAATGGACACTTTATAATCTACTAATAGTGATAGTCGATCGAAACTACGAAATATTCGTAAATTACCTGAAACATTCCTGAATACTTGTAAAATAATGGATTGAATACTTTCTATTAATACCCAAGTTTAGTAAATTAATAATATTGCCATGTGTACATAATTAACTAAATATTATTTCTTTTGTGACAAAAGGCCCATTAGATATTGAAGGTATTTATAAGTTGCTCTATGGCATTAAAGCGAATTAGACGTGCTAAATTAGCAATTAATGGATGGACTTTTTGTAGAAATTAAGATTTGCATTACGATATTTTATTACCCTAAAGACATTTCAAAACGCTGTTAATAACTAAGATAAATAGGAAAAGGGTTATTTAGCTGTGATTGAAATTAAGGAATATTTTTATTGAAATGGTGATTAAAGATCTGCATTTTACGCTATAACAAGTAACACTCGAAAGTAATAGAATTTGAGGGTTCAATAAAGTAAAATTTGAAGTCGGAAAGAAATTACATGATTGATTATAGTGCATATTGCTCTGTAGATTTATCAAGCCGTAGCTATTGATAGAGCATAAGTAAACAAAATCTGAAGCAACGCTGTACAACATAATAAAATAGATAAGATTCTGTAGAGGGTAAGGCCATTGCCACACAATATAGCTGCCACTAAAAATAAGCAAATAATATCAAAGTAATGTAATATGCTGCTAAAAATAAGACGCTATTAAAAAACCTTTACTATAATCATTACTATTGATCTAATAGATTCTATCACGAAAGAGTTAAATCTAAAAGAATTGAATGACACATTATAATATTTTCAGTATCAACAGTCGACATATTGTAACTTTCTTAGTAATTTCAATAAAGTAAAAAATTATGAATAATTGTAATTGACACTGCATTGTTTTCTAAAATTTATTATCTATGGCCATTAAGTCTAAATTTATAAACAGATAGTTTTGATATAATGCTTATTTCTAACGATTGAAGTAGAAGAATTATAAATTTTTTATTCTTATATCGTAAGATTTATCTCCGTAATCCTTGCAGTAGATTGTTAAGTAATATAAATGTACTATAAAGTATCAGTTCTTAAGGAGAATATCAGAGATAGAATAATATCTAATATTGCTAATACATAGGTAAGGTTGTACCAGATCCATACAAAAAGTAAGGAAATGCCTTTAACTGCAAAACTCGCATTTAGGTTAATCACAGAGGATTTCTCAACCCATACAGTTTTCGGATATGTATAGCGTTTGTATATATTACCGTATAAGCGTATGTTCTAGAGGTAAAATTAATCTTTTTGTTATTTTACTGTTAATACTAAATAATTATAGTTTGTCATGTTCTCATCATATTAATATTTATAGCTACATAATTATTAAGATTCAAATTGCGATCATATCCGAAACATCTGCTCAATTATAATTGCAGGTAATTTACTACGAGAATTACGAAATCGAATATATAAAATATACTAAAATTATTACAAATGTTGATTGCAAGAGTATTGAGAACAATAAATCAATGTATAAATTTAGATGCACTCAATGGACTCATTAGGTGTCGAATTCTGATCAACTTAATTCTATCTGCGGTAATTGCTGTGAGAAAGTATATATAAGTGTGATTATTCGCCTGAAATGATCGAGTTTCACAATATGTTAACAGACATTCTGCGCCAGTGATCGATTCATTCAAGATACAATATCAGCCAAGGTCAGTATACAATTATTCGATACTAACATAATATAGTAATCAAATCGATAGAAGAAACCACTATTACTTCTATTGGGATCTATTGTATATGTATGCATAAGTGCGTAAATATAAGTACAGCATTAGTGTTCTTAGATTTAAATTTACGGGTACAATTTTGTACTGCGCTGAGCTCTTTCAAAGTTGAGCTTCTTTAACTTATCCCGAAGATCATATTTAAATTAATCAGAAATTTCTCTTTCTGAATGAATTCTAGGATAAGAATGTATCGATTATCATTATGTTGTATAATTATACTTGTTTTATTTGCGAATGAAATTGAGCCTAAGTTTGCCAAACCAAAGGAAGGTAAATTTTATTAGTCCTTTTCGACTTCGTTCTAAGAAAAATTTGTGTATTGAAAAATGTAGACTTATGAATTTATTATGGTTCAAAAAGCATTGATTAGCCAGTAAAATTCTAGTATTAATATCATAAATTTCAGGATAATTGCCTTACAACCGTTGATTTGATTGTATTTATGATTAAAAAATTACCAATAGTAAATAAAAGATGACAAATCTGAAGAACTTCATATATGAATATATACTGAATATGTGTGTTAATGCAGATATACCTTGGAATCTACAACGTCGAAGCAATGCTAACAATTTAAAGTCTCGTAGCGATTCTGCTAAATTATCCAATACGGAACATAAAAAGAAAGACTTGGTTGCTGAAGAGCAATCGCATCCAATATTTGGAAAAGGTTTAGTTAATGAAGGTAGGTGGACATTGAATATTTTGTAGATGTAACTTTAAATATTAAACGTTATGATACTCATTATGGTGCTGTATTTTCCTTAATATTTATTCTGCAGATGTATTCATGTACATATCAGCGCAAACGGACAATTTTCATATAGTTGCAATAGCTTATGGCTATACCCTTTTAAGTTAAAGATTATATTTTTATATTTTGCAGCTAAGAAGACATCCAGGAACGAAGCATTGCAATATAATGGTTGGCCTCCATTTCGTCGGGAGGATGAGTCAAAGCAATATAATGGATGGCCTCCATTTCGTCGGGAGGATGAATCTAAGCAATATAATGGATGGCCTCCATTTCGGCGAAGTGATGAATTAACACAATACAACGGATGGCCTCCATTCCGTAGAAATGATGGAAAGGAGCAATACAACGGATGGCCTCCATTTCGTAGGAATGCTGGGATGATGCAATACAATGGATGGCCTCCATTTCGTCGAGATGATGAAAAAATGCAATACAACGGATGGCCTCCATTTCGTCGAGAGGATAGAGAAAAACAGTACAACGGATGGCCTCCATTTCGTCGAGATGATGAAGTTATGCAGTATAACGGATGGCCCCCATTTCGTCGGAGTGAAGCAGTTCAGTACAATGGATGGCCTCCATTTCGCCGAGACGATCAACAGAACAAGCCCTATAACGGATGGCCTCCATTTCGTCGAGAAGATCAACAAAACAAGCCATACAATGGGTGGCCTCCATTCCGTCGTGACGATCAACAGAATAAGCCTTACAACGGCTGGCCCCCATTTCGTCGAAACGATCAACAGAAAAAGCCTTATAACGGATGGCCTCCCTTTCGTAGAAATAACTAAAATTACTGTGTTGTAAAATGTCCTTTTTAAACTTGCTCCCAACCAGTAAAGATACGCTCATCGAAATTCTTCAAAATATTCGGATAAAAGTGCATCAATTGATCTTATATTTTAAGTAATTTTCTCCCTCAACGTAATACCTGTATTCATTCATAGCGAGACCTTGGAGTCAGATATGCTGCATACTTGACCCAATTTTGAAATACAGAATATGATCGAGACGTAGTACTGTATTGTACTGTACTGCGCGTTTTTCTTGAATGATTCCTAAACTGTAGTCGAATATTATTTAGATGAGATATAGAAAATGTTTATTCTGAATTATATTCTCCTGATTAGAGTATGCAGATGTTCTATTAGGCTTGAGTTTATAACTGCTATAATACTACGTACCTTTATATCTTGCTATCAGTTACCTTTGCTTGTATTATGAATATTCCCTATGAATACTAAATAAAGCCGTTCCGAATTGCGCTACTGTTCGTTATTAAGGGTATAAAATTTTGAATATAAAAATTTTATCTTTACAATTTAAAAGTACGGTACGCGTATAGTCATATGACTACTTTAGTGCTATACGGATAAATGAGAGATCTCAATTTTCATCTTAGAAGGAATAAAGTAATACAATAGAATTAAGTATTAAAAGGTATTAGTTAAATATTGTATCGCTGGGATTTTTCTCTTCAATTTAGTGATGCACCAAATGCCTATTTAGACACAGTAATTGTATATATGCGTTACAGTATTAGAGATTGCCTTGAAAACGCAAGAGCAAGAACTAATAATGTCAAGCAATATCAATACTTATAACTTAATGTTAGTATAGTGCCTAGAAATTTATTCATAAAACTGAGGATGCCACGAGGTGTTACCTTCCATATACAGTATATGATATAGCTGCCAACAATGCATATCTCACCAAGGACTCCTCAATCGCCCCAGCTTCACAAAAAGTTAACTTCAACTTTTTTTGTGAAGCTGGGTTGGTCGACGAGTCTGTCATTCTCACATTACACATACTGTACTTATTTTCACCTTTTAATAGACATAGCTATCAACACTTCACAACACTCCCCTAACTAATTTCAACAACTGTTAGAATGCTGCACATGTACAATGTACATACGCGTATATATGTACTGTTATAATTATAGCTTTTAAGAAGAAAAAATTGAATAAGTTATTTTATCATGTATGAAATACCGCCATATTGTCAGGGACTACTCAACTAAGATTTCCCCCTCGAAGCCGTCACTAAAAACTGGACGGCTTTTTTGCGGGGAAATCTTAGCTTAGTAGTCTCTGTTGTTATATATTATTACATTGAGATATAATAAAACATTAAGTTCAAAAATATTTAGCTAAGACTCTTATTTTGATCTTGATAGTAATATGAAATAATATTATTATAATCGACGCGATTAGCGCCAAAGTAGCAGGTCAGCCTATAAAATTGGTATCCATAGTTCATATTTGCTTAGACAGGTTTCAAAGTACATTACAGTACATCGTATACACTATAGTCGTTTTAGCAGTACTTGCGGATACGTACTTACAGTATGTCACAATTTAGTCTGCCGCAAAGCTACAAGAAACCTAGCAATATTTACGCTATACAGCAGGGCAGGGGTGACAATTTTTATGCAACAGAGGTACAGTTTTGATTGAGTAGTCCCTAATAGTACTGTCACATGGACTTCTAGAAACATCGAGGGATGCTCAAGGTACAGTATCTAGAAGTCCATATGCAGTGTAAACATTCAGATTTTAAGTTGAACATCAAGTTACTGGAGGCACGTTTGCTACACAAATATAGTACTGTACGGTACGTACTTTACAGTGTACAGTACAGTTTGCGGATGTACTGTACTGTACAGTAGTACACTGTAGCATTGCATAAAAAAATTTTTTCGGCGTGCACATTTACCCGAGTTGTTGTTTTAGAAAATTAAAAATTTTTTTTTGCCTCTGGTAGTCCAGTGATCAGTGGAGTACTGTACTGTACAGTACCGTACCGAACAGTACAGTACTGTACATGGGGGTGCGAAAATAAAATCTGTTCCGAATAGTACTGTACTGTACATACTGTACTGTACAATGTACAGTACAGTATAATAATTAATTATATAATACTATATAATATGATATACGGTATACTGTATAATAATATAATATATACTGTATATATAATAGACTCAATCTATCTTTTAGTCAGAACATCCTAGTTATTAGTGCGGCCTCCTCTTTCAGTTGCCAGTAGAGTACCCATTGGTAAGTAAAAAAAATGTATTTTCTTTTTTCCTGTCATTTTTAATGTACAGTACTATGTTGTGTTCAGGAGGTTTTGTTTTACTGTCAAACTTGCAATTCTTACTGTAAGAGCTGTTTGTGAAATTATCGCTATTTACCATGCAGTTCTGCGATTGAACATGTAATGGCGTACTTATTTGATCATGTATTAACAGATACAGCAGAATAGACAAGAGCTTAATATCTGTATCTACTGTACAGAGTATACTGTAAATGATTGTATGTATTTCACGATGAGTCATAAAACGGCTACAATTTACGTTTTCACGCTTTAGTTCAACGCGTTTTGTAATCTTAAAAAATTAATTTGTATAATCAGATGTACATAAGTACGGTACATTATCCGCTAATATGGTAATGAACGAAAAAATTACAGAGTACCACGTTAAATAGAAATGTTCTGCTACTGCTAGAAAATGAAAATAATCATGGTGCCCTAGCATGCCGTAAATGTAGAGTTTGCGATGAAAATTTGGATCAATTCTGTTTCATATTTTAATATAGAAAAAATTAGTGTAAACGGTATGTAGGTCATTACCGTGCCTATACCTAGTTTCAGACAACAGACGTTCAGCACGGCGGATGATTTATTGTGCATATCTAATAAGCTGTTATAAAAGGGCGGAACTTCACGGTCATCGCACTAAGCAGCACTTTAAAAAGTTATAGCTTGAGTTGGCACTTTTTACATTCTCGTACGAAATCTAAGAAAATAGGAACTTATGATAACTCAATTCGGTCCTTTTCCTTAAACGGGTGAACGATTACTCTAAAAATGAGACAATATCGTATTAAGTGTACAGTACTCATTTATTTTTGTAAGGAACTTCGAAATTATGTCAGTGGCGTGAAACATCATTACAAAACTATAACTATTGGTAAAAGTAGTCCAAAAAGCAGGAAATGAATCATTGCTCTGATCGGAATACAGCTTAAGTGTACGGAAACACTACTGTACGGATATTGAATTTACGGCCTAAAATACTCTCAAATACACGTATAACAAGCATTGACGGGAAGATATAACAACTATTTAATATTCGAGTAGAAATGCCTTTTTTATTTTTTTCCTTTGTATACAGTATACGTGTATGTTACATTATACTGTACAAGCAAGCATAGCAATATACTGTACAGTACAATACAGTACAGTATATGTACTGTACATACTGTATGTGTACAGTACAGTACTGTACAGTACTGTATATCTTTCAATATTTACCACAACACTGCAGTTCCTCTGTTATATTGTACAGTCATTGCACCATTACACTAATTACTACATCGTACTGAATAACCCTATACTGTACTGTACTGTACTGCATTGTACAGTGTACAGTCGACAATGTACCGTTAAAAATCTTAACTTGACCGAGATGAGAACCGCACACCTCTGTAGCGTCTGTCTGAAGTTTTACAGTAAACATCTTCGTCAGTACGGTACTGTACGTACAATACACTACAGTATCTAGTACTATACTGTACAGTACTGTACTGTACTGTATTATTACAATGAATTTATTTATTATAACACTGTACGTACAGATTCTGTAAAGCGTTAATTAAGAATAAAGCATGAAGAATACTAAAGCCGGGCGGATTACAAAAGAAAACTTACTAATAAAACGTTGTGCGGTAGACTGTACAATATATATTTACTAGTATCACGGGAGGTGTTAACGTTAATAGCAATTACATCTAGTATTTTTACGTGATAAAATTTATTCGCGGTAGGTAACTATTTTCTAATTTTATACTATTTACTACAATAAATTAGCAATTGCAATAATGCGCAAGCAATTAAGATTGAAGAGCTTATTTGTTTCCTAAACGTACTTATGGTTATTCTTTTACAGATTTGCTTCCGAATAGTACTTTCATTCTAAACCATTTCAGCATCTATTGAATCAAGATGATTAATAGACGCAAAGGAAATGCAAGTCATAACGCCAAAGCTGCATTGTAAGTTTAGTCGCTAATAATTCTATAACCTATAAGGCTGTTGGTAGCTATCAATTTCTATTGGCGTAGTCTTCGTTTAAGATCTCTGTTAATGTGCTACCATTTTATTTGAATGTAATTTTGTAATGTGCAAAGAAAATAGTACATCATTCGCTATACAATAACAGTCCTGCTTATACATTTACATTAGTAGGATGATGTAGATATAGTATCGTAAATTTAGATCGATATTATTGTTGTTATAAATATAGCAGCATATCTGCTAATATCTGTATAAGCAGTTGTGAATAAATCATGTCAATTACATTACATAGTATCCAATTTCGTTCTTGATAGAGCAACAGATACCATCTTTTCGATGTCTCTTATTAATATCGGAAGTTTTGAAATAGTAAATAATTCGAATCAGATCAAGCTTTTTACTGATAGAGATATAGATAATTGTTAACTTTACAATAAATTTAGCGATTTCTTATGAAGAGGAATGTTACTGTAACATTTGTAATCAAATGATACTTTTCTTATAGCAAACAACAAGTTAGAAGAGAAAAGTCGCGAGATGCCGCCAGATCGAGGCGAGAAAAGGAATCAAATGAAATCACGGCTTTAGCGCAGAGTCTCCCTTTGCCTTTTGCTACTGTTTCAAAACTGGATAAGAGTTCGGTAATTCGTTTGGCTACAGGCTATATGTTATGCAGAGAGTTGGCCAAATTTGGTTTAAGTATGTTCTATTAGAGGATCTAATTCAATGGTTTACCACGTATATGTCGATTTACCTATAGTAATGTCATGTTGCTACCTGATGTTGATATCGATTACAAAATGATTGCATTTAAAAGCATTATTGTATTGCTATGTAGGCAAAGCAGACTTACCGCATGGCTTAAAAAACGCATATGATGGGGTTGCTTTAGAAGTAAGAGCACTTGCTGTATTATCCTATAACTTTTACCTAAGTCCATTCATACTGAATGATTGTTCACTTTTCGATGTTGCAGGCTCTTAATGGTTTCGTCTTTGTTGTAACGCCGGGTGGAAAGATTATCTACATTTCAGACAATGTTGTCTCTTATTTAGGATTATCTGCGGTTAGCTAAATAATTTACTACTATATTTTTTATATGGCTATCGATTATAATTACCGAATACTTTATGAACCTAAACTAATGTAACTATCCTTTTAACCTCAATAATTGTGTTAATAGGTTGATCTTTGTGGTCTTAGTATCTATGATTATCTACACACTGCGGATGCTCAAGAATTTAGCAACAACATTCGTAGTGGTTGTACTGATCTTAGGAGTACATACTGTAAGGATGTAATGAAGAAAGGTAATATGGATTTATTTTATACTCGAATACTGAATATTCACACTACAATCACGCAGGGTAATGATAATAAAATTAATTTTTGCACCTCTGCGAGTAGGAAAATGGCATGAGATCTTTATGCGAATGAAGTCAGCGTTTTATAAGAATCAGTCAGTTACTCCGAAATCTCCTGATTATAAGGTAGGGTTTGTTGGAGCTATTTCAGCTATAATAACTGGTTTCTTAACTAGATCTATTAATTTACAGAACTTCTGAAGCTTTTTGACTATTTGCATATACCTGTGTAGATAAATTTGCTAGATGTTATCTTTGGAAGTTCTATTTCCGTTAAAGTCCGTATTTTTGTAGACTCTTAGGTGCACTGGGCGATGCTGTGTACAACTACGTTCATCATCTGATAAAATTTGTAATGACTTAAGAGCAACTGATAATATATCAGCTTGCTTTGTATGCTTTGCGGAGCCTTTGCCTAGCTCTATTGCAATGGACGTGCCACCTCAGCAGAAATACTTCAAAACAACATTTACACTTGACTTAAAATTTAACCATTGCGATAACAGGTTCTTCAATGTTAAGAGATTTCTATATTGTGCTGTAGGCGCATTTATTAGATTATTTATTTTCTTACTATTGCTATTAGAATAACTGACTGGACAGGATATGATCCCGTGGACCTATACGGAATGTCTTTATATCAGCTCTGCGATAGGGGTGATGATCATAGGGCTAAGGAGTTCCATAAAAATTGTAAGTTTTTGGCTTTGAATTTAAAATTTTAAGAAGAAACTGGACAGGATTAAAACTTAGTAATTAATATTTATACTAGTGATATTGAAGGGACAGTGTGTTCTTACAAACCTGAAAATTTTGGCTAAGTATGGCGGGTGGATCATGATTTACATGAACGCTTCGGTTGTCTGTGATAATGGAGCGCCATCGCCTCAACGTATTGAAGCCGTTAGCTGTGTTATAGGGTTAGAAGGAAATCTTCATCTGTTGCTTTCTATGATCAACTATATTTATAAACTTTAATTTACTTGAGCAGGACATCAAGTGGAAAGGATATCACGTCATTGGAGCAACGTTGCGAAAGTCTTAATAACTGTAGAATGTATGCAAGTGAAACTCAAATGTGCTTTGGAAAAGATGAAAATACAGTAACTCTTAACGCAAATTCAGAAATTTCTTGTGACGTAAGTGATCGTATCAGAATCCCGTATGAAGGGGCGGACGTTAAATCTGCTTCGGAAATGGAAGAATCCGACGTGGAATGGTTAGCTGATGTACTTGACTACGATACTTTCTCATCAAATCCAATGCTATGCGATTATAACGCGCAGTCTGAGTTCTGTAAAGACAAGACTGGCAATCATATTGAGGCAGAACAAGTGGCGGTTCCAATTAATGAGAAAGAGGATTATGATGATCTTGCACCATTCGTACCTCCTCCAAGCTTCGATAATCGGTTGTATGATAACTTTGTGAGCATTTGCAATGATATACGTACTGAACAGGAATTCATGCCAGATTGCACTTTCCTGCCAGCAAATGAAATTTCTAATGAAGATCTAGTTAAAAGTAATTATGACATCATTACTGATAAACGTTACCTGTTGGTTCCATAGTTTCAAAGTGCCACATTGCATAACATAAGTGCATGATACATTAATGGTGCTACACCTATCGGTAGCTTGTAATTTCGAAATGGCTTCTGTAATAATTAATTTTACCCATCTTTCTTTATTGTACACAGTGTGAAGTGTACGTTTGACATTTTATGTAGTTAGGCCGAACGTTTTCCATCCCAAAGAATAAATTCTTACTAATTAACTACTTTATCACCTCCTTGTCATGATAGATCTTTAAAGATATATTAATAGTAATACGTCGTATATGGTATTAGCAGATCTCTATTTATTGTTAATATATTAACAGTCAATAAAATGTCTAACCTATATGGAGAATGTGTTCGTTATCATTCTATAAGACTTTATCAGTATTCATAAAATATGAGCAAACTCTAATATCTTTGCAATACTGGGCATACGCAAAATTTCATTCAATTGCTGATGCCAGATAGCCCTCTATAACCCCGTGATGCTATAGTTCAATAGCTTAAAATTCAGGGTTTCTATAACAACTCATTGATACGAAGGATTGGTGAAGTATTGTGAAAAAATTGATATGGTATTGCTGTATGTTCCTAATGATAATCGTATTCACTTTACAAAGTTTGGAATACGATTTAGAATTAATTATATATAATTATGGATTTGAGAAACGATAAATTGATATATCAATATTGATATATTACAGTTGAACATCACTGTCACCTCATTTAGTGTTTGAAACTTATTATTATTTTAAAACAATGACCTTATCGATTTGCGGTAGATCAATTATATTTCTATATTGCATCAGCTCATAAATTGGAAAGCCGGCACACGTGATAGTTTATAATGTTTCACAATAACCTTTACATTTTGCACGTGTAGGTCATTATTCTGCGACGTATTTGCCTGCGTGTGCTACTGTACGGTAATGCAAGCAAGAACCTGTATTAAAATATTAGCTACCTCAATTAGATTATAGCACTGCAAGTGTACTGTAAATTGCCGGTATACGGACACACAAAACAAGGCTACATCTACAGGTTTGGTGCTGACCGTTGCGTTAATGGATCGAAAGTAAAGAATTCTTTTCATATACGTTAAATTAATATTTGCATATGGATTTGCACAATCTTTAATCATGGTGTATCATTACTATAAATAACGATATGCAAATCAATTTTACACTAATTAATACTCTTTTCCTTAGTAACTATTTTGTAGAATACGGTTAAAAACGCTATTTTAGCTAATAAAATTGCATACAATTGAACTTCGTGAATGCCGGATTTTATTAATAGTTGATAGTCTTTGATAGTAGAAGCACCTGGATTAGTTCATTCTCAATGCAAATAAATGTTTATAGTGTATCTGATATGCGTATCCTAATATCGATATATTGATTCCTGAACATAGATTTTTAATAATTGAATAAGTTAAAGCAAATTAAATGATTTTATGCATCATATGATAATAATTTTTAGAATAGGCAACAATACACAGAAAGATTGTACATACGCGTATGAGTGCAATTCTTGCATTTTTAATATTTATTTCATTAATACCTTGCATAGCTATAGGTACGCATGAGGGATTATACATATACTAATGCACCTGACTATATTCACTACGTGGTACATGTAACAAGCTATCGCTATTCGCTAAGACTTGTTTAGTATTACTGTACTACTGTGTTGTATTGGTAGGTATTGGTATTCATTTGAAATTAAAATGATCATATAGATGATATAAACTTTCTCGGATAATTATAATCAACAGAAAGGAATTTGGAGAGCGCATCTGATGACGTGATTCTTAGTACATGAAAAATGGATTTACGGGTGCAGAACCTAAAATAGGTGATAGATAATAGTTACAATAAAATATAACACCTATTTTTCAATTGTAAATACTGAATATAACGTAGGCTTAATAGAATAAGAGTGCGACATTAAGTAATATCGTTATGAATGGGATTAATATTACTCTAATCTATTCTTAAATGCAACGGTATTATTTTCATCATGATACAAAAAACAAGGTATTAAATGTAAAACAATTGGGTAACTAAATTAAAATTATTATTGCTAAGAATCTCTACCATCACAGGTGCAGTTGTTACCATCGTTGTTAGTAGTACCACTATTTTCATGCATGAATTCTGCATTAAATTGAATTAAATGTTATATGTGCATAGTAGTGAGTGAGAATATCTACCATCTCTGCTGTATTCAATGTGCATATGTTAGCATGCTGGTTAATGCAACACTAATTCATGCAAAGATTAGTATGAATTAACTTACTGCCTCATTAAGCAGCCAGTCTTATTAATCCTTGATCATTTAAATTTAAATGAGTGCAAATTATTAAGATAGTGTCTAAAACTCGTATCTGCCAGACCTTTTAATTTTATTGATACTAGATCGCTACTATACCTGCTCTTGGAATTGAATAATATGACGGAGTTTCTATAAAGATTAATTGTTGGGATGATTAGTAAGTAGCCATATGAGATCTTGCTATGATTATAACAAAACATAGTTATATACATAAATCATATCGATAATTATAACGCTGTATATCAGTAATATTAGCAATAATACCATGTAATTACGTATAGTATTTTGAATATTTTAAGCAATAGAATGAATAATGCAATCCTACTCCCAATAAAATTTTACCGCGGCAACTCGAAAATTCTCTTTTATTGAAGTACATTTGCTTACCTTCTGCATTGTTACGGAAAAATTGAGCATCTAGGTTGTTTGATATATAATAGAAATCATTAAAACTCTTGCTTAATATTATTATAATCAAATATTGGTATCTAATAACATGCAAAATCAGTAGTAAAATACCATTAACAAGACGTAAAGTTACTAGTTACTTTCTTTTAAACAAAGTTATGGATAATTTTATATCATTATTCAGTGTTACTTATTTGCCGGCGATGTTTTATGACTATTAAAGTCGTTAAATAAATTAGTTGTTATTATGCAATTAATTTTTTAAGACTGCTTTATTAATTATCTCTTTGAATTTTCTATTTTCTTATACTGAAAGTGTTAGTCTACATCTGATATATAGAATTGTTCATTAATTTGCAATGACTTTACCAAAGTAGATTCTTACTAGAGCAATATCACTGTAATAATTTCTGAAGTCAATTGAAAGACATGATGTGAAATTGTTTAAGTAAATTAATAAATGAATTGACAACTGTTTCATTATAATTGGGGTAGTATTTACGTCAAGATGAAACAATTTTCACGGTGAGGTTTACAGTATAATTATCGGTAGCTAGCAACACATAATTTATAGCTATTAGGAGATTATACGTGATTGTGCTATTCAAATAATATGCTAAAGCACAGTATTGTTAATAAAGTGTTTATAATTATACTTCTTAATAGTAATTTTATTTTCTGACTTTTACATTATATAGTATGAAAATTTTTTTTATTGTAAATAATGACTGTCTTAGAAGAGGTCTTAGAAATTTAAACTGACCATCTTTCTTGTTCCCGAAGAATTGATCATCTAATTTAAGGAAAGAAACAAAACAAAGTTGAAAGTTATCATCGTAATAATCAGCTAAATAACAGCAACATTGTACCCTACTGACGTGAACAGACAAAAGTTGCAAATAATAAAGCTGTCATGAAATAATTCTTTTATGCTAATAATAGTGACAAGTTTATTAATTGCACATACCTTCCTTCTTGTGTCCAAAGAACTGATCATCTAAAATAAGGAAATAATTTTTAATAAAATAATTAGGGTAGTAATAAGAAAAATTGTAGCTTACTGACAAAGTAGATAAAGGAAGGTAACTGATAGCAATGTAGAATAATAGTTTTCTTTACAGAGATAAGATATTTATAATAGAGCTGTTAAAAGTACAAGGGGAAAGACAACGATAACACTTTCAGTTTCTCAACATTTCTTCAATTTATAATATAGCTTGGAGATTCTAAGTTTAACAAAAATTATAATACATAGTATTGCAGTCTTTTCGGGTGACTTTATTCTAGAAGTATTATTTAAATACCGTAATTGCGCAGTCGAATTAAAAATACCTATGCTGGGTCATTCAAGTTCAAGTACATTACGTTGTGGCATAAGTTATGACTATGCTAGCACAATCATAGCTCTAAAATCATTATTCATTTTAAGATATAACACGAAAATATTTATGATGTTATATAAGCTCTATTTAGACTGCAATGATCTTGGCTGAAATATATACATAAATTTAATTAAATACCTTTTTTGGAGCCAAAAAATTGACCGTCTGAATGTAAAGAGAATAAAATGTCACATATTTCATATATTATCAATAAAATTTATTTGGAATAAAGAATTATTTGCATATCATAGCGATAAAATTTATTAATAGAAGTTCTTAGTTCATTATAAGATTGCATTCAATTACCGTCTCTACTCCCAAAGAATTGAGCATCTAAGATAAAGAAATTAAGGATTTCGGATATTAATTATCGTGAAAATATTTATTCAAATGCAGGAAGCTGGTATATACTACGCATGATAATATAACGACATTGCATAACTACATGTATGTACTCTATTTGAATAGAGTTTTAAATCGATGGACTTGTTAAAGTAGTAACTAAGTACATAAAATCTACGAACAAAAAGATGGGTATAGAATGATATAAAATATGACGTAGATAGATGTGAACTACAGGACGATATGTTACTGTTGCGATCGTGAGAGTTGTACACATTGCAAGTAATGACCTGAGCAATTGTACACATGCAAAGTATAAACAACTGAAATATTATGAACTGGGATAGGGATTGGTGGTCTAATTTTCTTATAGTAGAAATTTGAACTAAAGCTATAGAATTTAATGGTTTAAGGAGTTATCAAGTTACAAATGATAACTAATCAGTGATTGTATTAATTGAGAAATTATTTGTCATGATACTGACTTAGAAGATGAAAAGCTTAGTTTCGTAACATCAAACATATGTTAGAACTAATCAGAGCAGTAATATAAGTTTAATATCTGAATCGTACGATCAGTTCTTACCACGTTTGCCGGGGTTAAAAAACTGTCCATCTAGGTTATAAAAGGGTAAGAAATATTGTGAGGTTAACCATATATAAGCAAAATTTTGATATATTTAATTTTAACTTGGTAACTTTTCCAACCTCTTCTGCTTCCAAAAAACTGTGCATCTGATTTATCGAAATTGTAATTGAATGTTGGGTTAGAAAGGGATTAAATAATTGATTTAATCAGTTTTCATAATCGATCCTGACCTCCTCTACTGCCAAAGAATTGTTCGTCTGCTTTTTAAAAGGTAAAACTAATTGTTAGACTAGAAGGGATCAAACATTTGATATCAACTCATATAATCTAAGTGAATTTAATGAACTCTGCAACTATAATCGTTTCCTACCTTTTCCGCTTCTCTGACCAAAAAATTGGGTATCTGAATCGCAAGATTCCGTAAAGTAAACGATATGATCACAGAGAATCACTAAAAATGAAAAAAACCTGACAAGTCATTTCATACCTCGTCTTCGGTCAGGACTGAAAAATTGTGTGTCTAATACGAAAATTTGAGAAAGTAGGTATTCATAACATTAGTATCATAGAGTTGATAATTAAATGCTTGGTAAACGTACTATTTACCGTATCTACGGCCTGGATTGAAAAATTGGGCGTCTAATTTAAAATTGTAGAGGAAAAACGTTATGTATTGTCTTATGATTAGTCATTATGGGCAAGTTATAATTATTTTGCTATTATTGAGCTATTTCTAATGATTAAAGTATTTATTGTTATGTATTGGTTGCTTAGTGAGCTTTCCAGGGTTGAAAAACTGACCATCTAGACAGTAAAATGTAAATTACTTATCTTTTTGATAAATGAATGATAGCATCAAACGATGGAAATATTATACGCATATAATTATTTGCAAGATAAATACGTGTTTGTTTCATACCACGTTTGCCTGGGTTAAAAAATTGACCATCTAGTTTGTGGAAAACAAAGTTTGCACAATTTTAAAGATAAAATAATAGCAACAGTAGGCTGTAATATCATTATCGAATAGTATCTGTTCTTTTTCTTACCACGCTTGCCAGGATTGAAGAACTGATCATCTAAATTACATAATGTAAAGCACCATATTTATAATTTGGCAAAGGAATAATATTTGTCAAGAATAATTACATGCGCGCATGTGCTTCTTACCGCGTTTGCCTTTATCGAAAAACTGTCCTTCTAGATTATGTAAAGTAAAGTTCTTACATTATTGGCAATAGAAGTAATACGGTAGTACTTACTGTAAGGATGGAATTATCATTATCAAGGATGATAAGACATCTGTTTCTTACCGCGCTTGCCAGGATTGAAAAATTGACCATCTAGATTTTGGGAAATAAATAGTTAATATTCTTTGACAAAAGAATAATCTTGTATATGTGACGCAAAAAATTATAATTGTCAAGACTAATTTAGTCTAGTTTCATACCGCGCTTGCCAGGGTTGAAAAATTGATTATCTAGATTTTGGAAAATAAAATTATACACGTGACGAACGAATAATGATGTCTAATGATGCAATATCATAATCCGAATAATTATCTATTTTTTTACCGTATTTGCGGGAATGGAAAAACTGGTCATCTAGATTATAGAAAGTAAAATACTCAAATCATTAAAGAAGGATGAGCACCTTCCAATAATAGAAATATCAAAATCAAGGTTAAATATATTCTGTTTACTACCGCGTTTGCCAGGATTGAAGAACTGACCATCTAGATTTTAGAAAGTAAAGTCTGAATCATACTTTATGATGAAGCATTAATGGTATCGAATCGTAGAAATATCAATGTTAAGAATGGTTATATTATACATTTATTTCTTACCGCGTCTACCAGGATTGAAAAACTGATCGTCTAGATTATAGAAGTAAAGCAATTACTTTTTTAATAAAGAAATGAAAGTATTCAACGATAAATGTATTATTATTAAGAAAGCATTATGTAGCTATTTCTTACCGCGTTTACCAGGATTGAAAAACTGACCATCTAGATTGTAAAAGTAAAGCATATACTTTTTTAACGAAGGAATGAAAGTATTTAACGATAAATGTATTATTATTGAGAAAGCATTATATAACTTTTTCTTACCGCGTTTACCAGGATTGAAAAATTGACCATCTAGATAGTATAAGTAAAGCATTTACTTTTTTAACGAAGAAATGAAAGTATTTATCGATGAATGTATTATTATTAAGAAAGCATTATATAACTATTTCTTACCGCGTTTACCAGGATTGAAAAATTGACCATCTAGATAGTATAAGTAAAGCACTTACATTTTTTAACGAAAACATAAAGGTATGTGACGATAAAAATATCATTACTGAGAAACATTGTATAGTTTATTTCTTACCGCGTTTACCAGGATTGAAAAATTGACCATCTAGATTATTAAAGTAAAACGTTTACTTTTTAGCGAAGAAATGAAAGTATGTAGCGATAAATGCATTATTGAGAAAGTATTATTATATAACTATTTCTTACCGCGTTTACCAGGATTAAAAAACTGATCATCTAGATTATTAAAGTAAAGCATTTACTTTTTTAGCGAAGAAATGAAAGTATGTAACGATAAATGCATTATTGAGAAAGTATTATTATATAACTATTTCTTACCGCGTTTACCAGGATTAAAAAATTGATCATCTAGATTATTAAAGTAAAGCATTTACTTTTTTAGCGAAGAAATGAAAATATGTAACGATAAATGCATTATTAAGAAAGTATTATTATATAACTATTTCTTACCGCGTTTACCAGGATTAAAAAACTGATCATCTAGATTATTAAAGTAAAGGATTTACATTTTTGACGAAAAAATGAAAGTATGTAACAATAACATCATCATTACTGAGAAAACATTATATAACTATTTCTTACCGCGTTTACCAGGATTAAAAAACTGATCATCTAGATTATTAAAGTAAAATATTTACATTTTTGACGAAAAATTGAAAGTACGTAACTACAACAATATCATTACTGAGAAAACGTAATATAATTATTTCTTACCGCGTTTACCAGGATTGAAAAACTGATCATCTAGATTATAAGAGTAAAGCATTTACTTTTTTGACGAAAAAATGAAGTATGCAACGATAAAAATATCACTATTGAGAAAACACTGTGCAACTACTTCTTACCGCGTTTATCAGGGTTGAAAAACTGATCATCTAGATAGTATAAGTAAAGCATTTTACTTTTGACGAAAAAATGAAGGTACGTAACTATAAAAATATCACTGATGAGAAAACATTATACAACAATTTCTTACCGCGTTTACCAGGGTTGAAAAACTGATCATCTAGATCGTATAAGTAAAGCACTTACATCTTTAGCAAAGGAATAATACTATTTGGCAATATAATTATAAAACTATCGTTTCATGAATCATATGTAAGAAAATACATAATTATGTTTTAAGAATAGATAACAGCAAATTGATAATATAGTACTTTAGTGAAGTGCGTCGTTTATCCGTGCATTCAGCATTAGATTGAAAATTTAATCTCTAATTCGCAAAACTAACTTTTAAAGCTACGGCTTATGTATGACGAAAGCTTTATCTAAACACCTAAATTCGACTTAAATCTAAATGCGAAACATTCGAATTGAAATTATCTAAGTAAAGCCACTAAGATGAATTTGTTACTTTGCTCTTTTTTTTTCCAGAAAATTGAATATAGAGTAGTATACAAGAAATAGATTATATTAAGGAAATTCCGTTGCGGTAAAACATTTTTGGCTCTATAGATTTAATAACTATATTTTATGAATGATTATAAATTATGTTTAAGTTGTTTTTATTGTTTAGAAATTTGGTAGAAGTAGTCACTACTGTATTTAGTAATCTACTAAATTTATCTACAATTTATTATCGAATGTAAATAAAATTTAATTACAAAATTAGTATTGACATCATACCTTTTTTTTGTAGGTTGTCTTCTAGAGAATGGAAAATAATTCATTATTAGAGACGATTAGTACTGCATTAACTAAAGTGGTTAAGTTACTTTATAAGTGTCACTTAATATTAGCTAAAGTATGGCGCTAGTAATTATTACATAATAGTCAAATACGGCAATACTTGTGGAGATAAGACATAAAGTGTCATTATAATATGATTTACTGTAGCTATTATTGTCTTGAACAATTACAGAACAACCGCGTATAAGCTGTGATCACCAATTGATCTACGTATGGTCGTGTAAAAGAGATATGTATAGCACTGCTTCCGCAGAATTTTAAATAATAGATAATTCTAACACAATTTGTGCACTTATCCAATTAAGAACGAATACGTACTATTTTACTATCTCGAAACTCATTAATTTGAAATAGTATGGTACTTTCTTAACTTTATCGCAGATTACTAACTTTTATGGCCAGTAAATCGATCGTTACAGAAATTATTGCAATTAGGTACAATTTTTTGTACCATACTTCTAGATTGGAAGTATTAACATAGCGCAAGCAAAAGAAGCTTCAAGAGTAGAAATACAGTAACTTTGTCGGATATCGAATTGGATGCTCTGTTAGTTCGGAGTTACAAGTAAGCGCTTACCATCGCAACTATTCTTTTTCTATGAATCCAAGTATTGTAATGATAACTAATCATCTACAGATTTAGTAGAGTGAAAGAGCTATGGCATTTGGTGCCATTTATAAATTTAATTTGATGATATGCAAACTAATCAGAAAATGCGCATTCTAACAACATACATATTTACGTATTGTCCATATGTTTTATCGGATTATGAATTATGGAGGAAAGGGATGATTCACAAAGGTGAATATCGACAATACGATAGCAAACTGGATACAAAATAAATATCGATCATTTTGCTTACCGGATCTAGCAACCTTTACGGCTTTTGAGGCATCTAATTTCACGGATGAATTAGTAATAACTACTTTAACGCGCATGTTTCGAAATTCATTAAATTTAAAGTTATGCCAAAATTAAAAAATAAGCATCGTTTGTACCTTCAGCTTCCTTTTTAAAGAAAGGATTAAATTGTCTCTTGTTAGTTTCTGCTTTACTATCTGATTCGTCTACGTTTTAAATTTTCGTTCAAAATGCAATTTTATAAGTCGTTATGTTGATTTTAAGTTATTGTTATATCGAAAGAAATATGTGCAATTTAGTTTAAAAAATGGTAACAAATAGAGATATTACCTTTAGCTGCGATGATAAGAGGCAAGGCCACGGAGGCGACAAGCAATATGAAAAGGGTTTTCATGTTTGGTCAAGTTTAATGTAGCGGGCAACTGTAGGGTTATTCGTTGATAGTTATTATAATTTAATTTGGCCAAAAAAATAATTATCTTTGCAATTTATTTTATGATGAAGCATAATATTATTAAGAGAGTAAAATTATATGACAAATATGTAAGTAGATGTTTCATAAGATGAAATTACCCTTTATAGAGAACGCTTCCAATGGGTGAAAATCAGAAGTGCTTAAAATGAAGGCTACTATGCCCTTATATATGTGCTTGTATGTTTGGAATTGGATACCTAATTACGTAAGATGCAAATATGTAAAATACTAATATACCTTAAAATAACAGACTTTACTGTTATTGAATCAGAAAGAAATGTTTACATTACTTAAATTGCATATACCAGAACTTAAATATGTTTATTGTCTCAGATCATCCTAGCACGATGATGTATTAGTCATTTCCTTGATAATATCAACACTTAAGTTTGGAGACCGATTTCTAATCAGCAATCATACGATTTACTAGTTACAATCGCTGATGCTACAATTAGTCGCTTATATGCCGTTAAGTGTGCCGTATGTACCAAATAGAATAGGTGGACTATTATAGTGGCTTACGGTGTTTTCGTAATCTAAGCGTCACTTAATTATCGCATTTTCGGGTAATTCATTGTGATGAATGCCATATTAACAATAGGTTACGCAATGCCATACTGTCTATTGAGCATTCTAATTCTAGATTGATTTAATTATCTTGTGTCATTTATTATAGTAACTATTATTATAGAATATAGCCTCTACCTTTTGGTAATTATCAAAAAGTCAAATGCTAATAGGACTATTTAGCGTGGTAAAGAATAATAGAGCTTCTATCAAAGGGATTTATTTTGCTTTGCTAGCTCTAGCAAAGTAGGGCAGAAAATAGGTTACCGGAGGCAAATTTTACTAATTTTTAAGCCTCGATTATAGGCTAGTTAACGGATTTATGACAGTATATAGAACTTAGAATTAAAAATTCCTGTGATATTTGTAACTAGAAATTATCGACTTCTTTACTTATACCCATATTTCATCTTTCTATTTTAAATTAATGCGCCTGCTATAGTAATGCGCATGTAGATTAGTATCAATTTGAAATATAAACTATTATTGCAAAATGTAATATATAAGGTGCGATATAATGGATAATCGTCAGATATTTATAGAAAATAGTGGTATTAAAAAAGAAATAAAAGAAATATCAAATAAAGAATAAATAATAAAGAATAAAGAAATAAAGAAACATCTTTCAAATAAGGTGCATTTAATAGATCAATTAATTGCGTCAGTGATCGTGAGGTTTGAAGATTAATACAATACATACATATATGGAATAATAACCGTCATCTTATCTGATAATAAATCTGGCTTAGTAAATTATGATTGTTACAATACTTTAATGAGATTTATGGCAACAGAGTAAAATACTTCGTGGTACTTCTTCATACCCTTCTTGAGATGCTATATCCGATAGGCATAGTATACTATATCTACGTATGATATAAGAAAGCGTAGCTCTGGAAACGGTAATTTTTTTCTGAGATAAGGGCTTTTCTAATCATGTATTGTCGATAAATTTCATTTCGTAATGCCTCTATACAGTACGGAGGCTATGATAGATTAGATTAATAAATTTAATGATTTGTAAATCAGTGTGTAGCTATTACGTAATGAAAGATTTGTTTGCATATCATGACATTATTCAAGCATTTAGCAAACTCTTGTGTAAATATCCGAGAATCATCTTGTTTATTCTGCACTAAACGAATTTTAACAGCTAAATTACGTAATTCCTTGGGTTGATTACTGTAACTGAGATTTGAAGTCAAAGCTTGTTATTACTCATTGTCTTCTTATAGAGCCAGATGTTAGGAATTAATATCAGACTTTATGTTTCGAAGCTGTGAATGTACTATACTGTAAAGGATTCATGGCACTATTTTTTACCGGTGAATAACGGTATAATACTCATATACCTAAATACGTTTATATTTCATCAAGGAAAATAATAACTTTGGTGTTTCGAAATTAGTAGTCATTAACATTAAAGATTTGATGCGTATCAAATTTAATGCTTCCAGAGATTTGATACTCACGATAACATGCAATTAGAGCAGCCACTGATAGTTCCCTTAGCGTAAGTATTTGGATCGGTAGCTAAAGTATCATAATTTAGTAAAACCTTATCTGTTGGGATCAATCAACGATAGAGTGAAAGAATGATCGAAAATAGTTGAAAATCCGTCAAGTAATATTTTTGATGGCTATGTACAATCATTTCCCATATTTATGTTGTTATTTTCGTTCGGGTACAGTATTCGGTATTTTTCTTTGATTGTGCGGTATGATCTTGATTGAAATTTCCTAAAAGTTGTTATCACATGATAAGTGTTCCTCGGCCTTGTGAAGTTTGATAGATTTATAATGTTATATACTATATCTCTTTTAACATTAACCGTAATTAGGATTTACATTTTGAAAGTCTGTGTGCTGGATAACACATACTCATATTGATACGTAGATATGCGCGGATAGCTTGTCAGTTGGAAATTAGTAAGCAATAGGCTCCTTAACACAAGAGTAAATTCAGAATAAATGGTAAGTAATTAAGTCGGGTATTAAGTTATTAGATTTATGGTTTGACTTTATTCCATTATAATGTTGTTTCGATTGATTAATTATATGAATACGGCTGCAGGTATTGATAACAGCGTTAAAATCTCAATGGAAGCAATCGGTAATGTAATTTATAGGTATCTTCTTACATTTGATACAATCAAGAATGTAAAATGGTCTTGCTTAGCAGCTATCTCATAAAGGACGAAATCTATGCTATATACAGTATTTGCGCATTTATCGGAATTGTTGCTGTTATATCGTCCAAATTGACTTGATTACTGTAATGCTCATATGCTGGTGAAATTTTGTTATTGCGTGCAATATTTGCGATTTACAGTTGATGCTTATTGTCATGAGCAGAAATATTAACCTTGTTTGCCGCTGCATTCCAGAGTGTAGTGATGCAATAATGCATAGAAATAACTTGAATGGTTATAGCAAAATAAAATGACTCGTGTCAAGTTTATGAGTTGTAAAATAAATTGATTGGCCGTGTGAAAATTTTGTACTCATGCACGTACATTGTGAGTCGTGTTAATATTGCTTTTGCGCCGAATTATGAATGCTAATCATTTTATAAGTACTAGTCGATCCTTCTCTTGTTTTATTTCGCGTGCTATACTTGTACCCTTTACATTATCACTATCACCCAGTGTGCAGATAGCCTAGGCATAGCTGGTAATTATTTACTAGAATGAAAGGAGTAAAAATACTTATTAAGTAAAATAAGCGTAGATAAATTTAATTCAGATATGGAAAGAAAGAAAGTACAACTCAAATGATCTTGAATGAGCTTTTGTTCAGGTCAGGTATGCTCATATTAAAGAGTTCTCTTTCTGAGACGATAGGGAGGGGAGGGGAAATGTACAGTACAGTAATAAACTGATAGCGATGATCGAGCCATGTACAGTATACTTAGACTGGAAAGGGAATATGACATATGTAGAACAATTTTGCACTTGAGCAATAAAGAAGTTACTTTATTGTATGTTATTGTACTCATTGTAAGCATATTTGAGACAGCAAATGACTCATTTTACAGTAATATGCAGGTATACTTTAGTTATACGCACAGTGATGTATTTTTTACAACAATCAAGCAATTTAAGCTTTAGAACATTACTCATCTGAGTGTACAATTATAATATACGCTTATCATTATACAACGAGATCCCTTACATTGATATTGCAATTTTGGCATCAATTTATACCAAATTGATCGCAAATGCATGGCTTTAATATGTACGGTGTTAAGATCACTGGATACTAGTTAGG